AAGAAGATTGTGGAGTCCCTATGGCTAGATCAAAGTGAAAGCCCGCTAAGCACTGACCCAGGAGGGTGAAGGCAGGCACAATTCATGCTGTTCCTGGTCCGGGTAGCACAAGGCTCATACAGTGTGGATATGCCTGTCACTTCTTGCATGGAGGGGCAGTCATTTACATCCACATTGGCACAACTAACCCTGCAGGCTCTTGCACCCCACAGATCTATGGGGTGGCAGTGCCCGGCCCTGGGCCTTGGCTTTCAAGGACAGCTTGCAGTGAAGCAGCATCTCACATGAACTATGCAAAACGTCAGCCCTCCCTATTCCAGACCTCATCCTCTCTAGTTTCACACACTTTAAAACAGCTGCTTTAAAATACTCTGACTTCAAAGTACAGTAAATTAAGCTCCACGTAAAGTCCATTCAGCTTTTTGTTTAATTTGATAAAAGCTCATCAGACCATTCAAGCTCCCTTCTGGTCAATACTGCCTCAAGAAATCTGCAATTCAGCTACCTGTGGTTTTTCCAATATTTCTGTAAAACATTACTGACAGAATCTATTTGCCTGCATGCACCGGGTCTTTGCTGAACACTGTTTCAGGGCTACTCAAAGCACCCTTTCTGCTACTGCCACCACTCCTACCTCTCAAAACGTGTGAGTTTTTCTTCCTCTCACTCTACCTCCTGCGACATCAGCCAGTTTTATGAGGCATTTCTCCTGTATTTAACCTGCTTACACACCGTGCCCTCTTCCATTTCCCACTTCTTTGTAAGAAAAAGGGTTGGGTCTCAGTAATTGATGGCTTAATTCTTGACTTGTTGGTTAGAAGGTTTAGCTCCAGGCTGGACAAGGTACTAACAAGGCAGATACTTTTACATCTATTGGTGTAGCCCTTTGCATCAGTTGATCCCAAAGCACTTTACAAACAGCACACCAGGTCCCCCACTCACCATCAAGACCTACTCACCGCTAACTGCGCCAGCAACACTACATAAAAGTTAGTTAAGAGGTGAAAAAAGAGAGCAGCTTCTCCAAGTGAAATTACAGGGAAATTAAGGGAGGTAGAGTATATTGCTTTGTGGAGAAATTGGCCAGAGGACCAAACAGCACACCTTTTTAATGGCCAGGAATGGGGCAGGCTCCTCGTTCAAGGTAGGATGGCCAGCGAGGAGGCTGCTTCCTCTGAAATCCCCCAGAGCTGGTGATGCTGTATCAGCCAGGGAAACACATGGAGCCCACCAGCAGGGATTTGCACCTCCTTCTGTCCCTATGTGTTAGTAAGAAAAGGCAACACCTAGCTTTGAGAGGACCCCAACATAGCAGCAACAGAAAAATACACAGAAGATTTCATTCTAATAATTCTTTGATGTTTGCTATTCTAAATAAGCCATAACACTCCAGGGAAAAAAAAAACAAAAAAAACAGTGAAACTGACCATTTCAAGAAATACACCACAAGATCAGCCCTCCTCATCCACCCCCCTTCTCATCCAGTATTAACCTTGCCAGCAAGAAACCAGTTTCAAAGATTTTAAGATCTCCTGCTATATAATGGGAAATCAGGGCGTTTAGCAGAAGAGAAAAAAAAGGATCTTTTTATCCAGTGATCATGTGAAGATGAATAGGATCCTATACAAATACAGCCTTCATAATAGAAAGCCTAAATCTAACCCATTTCTTTAACAGTAACCCAAAGTTTTAGGAACAACTAAACAGTCCTTCAAAGAGGACCTTAATTAATTAATGAGAAGGCTCTGTCTTGAGCACTTAAATCCCTCAAGACAGAGGAAAGAAAACACGGGACAAAGTAGTGATAGTATTGATTATGCATAATTGGTATAATTAATTTGTAATTAGTTCATTAAAATATATAGGCATTGGAATTATGCTTGTACATTTCTGGGAATATCCTGCAAGTCACTTGGGATATGCTTATCATTTATTTGATAGATGAGACATTATTAGAAAGACAGCCCATTAAAAATTCATACACCAGAGTAATAATTTCTCCATCTCAGCATTCAGTTTTCTAAGTACTCGGACGCCTATTCTACTTCACTAAGAGTTTTTATTAATACTGTCTTCTCAGAGCACGAAATGGGAACTGCAGCATTTTAGACAACTGAAGCACAATATCCAGTACAATAATGGAAAGCAGTAGGAAGATGATTCCACAGCACCATGAGCAGCCTGGTTTCTTAGCATTCTCTCACTTCTGCAGCACATCTGGCACTGCTCACTGTCATAACAGACTCCAGTGCCCATCCATCTGGATGAGCAGGATTTCAGGGGTTCTTAAACCCTGCAGATAACAGTCGCCATTGTCCCACAAGAAGGAACTGAAGCAGGTCAGCATACGCTGGTACTTCAATGGGATTTCAAACACATTATCATAACTTGACGTAGGTGGAAAGTAAGAAAGAATAATAGCACATCACAGTTTTTATCCTGCTGTGCTACTTTAAACATTCCTACCAATCTTTCTGAAGCCCTACTGCTATTTATGAAGTTCCATTTCAACCAACTGCTACGAAAATATTTTGATCTTAAAAAATCCAGAACACAGTTACATCATCTCCAAGTTGGGTACTTGAAATGTACATTTCCTAAAGCTTCCACAACAGAGTGTCAATCAGTGTAAGAACCAAGAGGGCCTTCTGTTCAGACTCACCTCTCACTCAGAGGGTGATGATGCACTGTTCACAGGTTGCCCAAGGAGGCTGTGGATGCCCCATCCCTGGAAGCATTCAAGGCCAGGCTGGATGTGGCTCTGGGCAGCCTGGTCTGCTGGTTGGTGATCCTGCACATAGCAGGGGGTTGGAACTAGATGATCACTGTGGTCCTTTTCAACCCAGGCCATTCTATGATTCTCTCAGCAAGCCTTGCCATTGCACCCTGCCTCCAGCAACACTAACGGCAGCCTACAAAGGTTGGTCCATTCCTGACACAACTCACTGAGGTACACAAAGCCACATGAACATCCGTCTTGGCTTTGCTTGTTTTGAGTAATCTGTTGGTTGTTTTTAAATGAATGGTGGACACAAGTGCAAGCAGTGTCACAAGGCATGAATCTCTTCTCGCAAAGCAAAGTATGAGTCTCAAAAATGTTGCTGTTTAAAAAGGGTATTTGTAAAAAGAAATGTCGAAAACAGAGTTGGATCTCCAGATCCTTTAAACTACAGCTAAAAGCTCTACTGTAATTTTGTGCTACTCAACAGCCTTTCTTTGGCATTTCTGAACAGTCTTCCAGTAACCACATAAATTTTTGCCCTCTCCAATCTAGCATGGACAATTATTTGTTTTCTTTGCCCTGAACTCAAGAATACGATGCATGTATTTACATAAGTGCACACAGTCACAGACATCTCTATATAAAAATTAATCTCCAGATGATGAAAAGAGTAGAAGATCTAAGAGGCAAATCCCAAACAAAAGAGCATACTTTATACATAAATATCTTGAAATTATAAAGATCTGAGATTAAGTGGCTTACCACTCATTTAGAATTGATTAGAATGCATTTAAATTTAGCTGAAAGTATCACAACATTGCTCATGTATTTGCATCTGTGAATAAGTAAATAAAAAGCCTGTTATTAAAGCCTTCATTAATTCTGATTATATGAGAACTTAAAAGCAAATCTGTGTATTACTGCTCTGTAAAGACTCCAAGCAACTCTACAGTAAAGCTGGCACTGTAACACAACATGTGTCAGTGAAAATGACTAACAGGATCTATTTTCAGTAATCTTAAATCACACTGGTAAAATATAGAATTAATGGTTTCGCATAATACTTCAGAATTTTTTTTTTTTAATTCATTCCCAATGCATGTTGTATTGTATCAAAAATATAATTGAATTTTATAGCACTTGACATTTATTCGCAACAGTTGAATACATTTTATTAGACTACAACATTCAGGCAGCATTCAGATGTGATGTGTATATTATTATGAGGAGTGATCCAACAATTTTATTCCCTTCTAAGTATGATGGCTAGATGTTAAAAATATGTCACTTTGACAAGAAAAATTGAGAACATTTCATTCTGACTTTGGATTTTTAGTTTCTATAAAGCAGTATTCTGGAAAGAAGGATTAATGACCTTCAGTAGAATTTTCCCAAATTAAAGATTTCTCTGTTAATTTCTAAAGAGTTCCATTGTTACAGATATAACCTACTCCAAAGTGTTTCTTGGAGAAATCAGTTTTAAGCTACAAATGGCTCCTGAATATCAATGTATATCCAGCATACCAGATTAAAAGTTCAAGCAGGGAAACATAATTGAAAAACAAACAAACAAAAAACCCAGAAACATTAATTAGGTTCTTCAAGCTCTAATCTTATACTCAAGCTCTAATCTTATACTCATTTAAAGCATATTTGTATTTACATAAACATGAGTTTGCTACACCAGTTCACCTGTCAGCCCTGACATTCTCTTTTGACTGTGAAGGACAGTTGTGGTAAAGCTCCACCTATGTAAACTTTCCTCAAAAATCTGATAGTTTTGCTTTTATGGCTTGATTCAATGCCTGAAATGGCAAATCTTTATAGGACTTGTGTGTGACCACAAACTGCAGGCTAGTACTGCGTTTTATGAACAAAATGCTTTAAGGCAATGAAGGAGAAAAAGACTCATTAAATATGGCACATGGAAAATGACACTGCAATACCTAAGAAAGTTTTCTCATAGTTGAGAAGTCATTCTAAGTTAAAATAAAACAAAAACAATCTTCCCCTAGCATTTAGCCCTTAAACTTGGAGTTATGAGGTAGAATTTGATTAAAGACTTTGCACTTTATCACGTCCAATAATCAGACTGGTTTAGAACAAGCTCTACACTATACTCTAAAGCTAAAAATAAATTACTTTTCCCTATGCAGTTTCTTGGTCCAAGTGCCAAGTTGATTACCCAGTAACCTACGTCATGAAACATTTTAAGGCAACATATTGAAAAAAAAAAGATTGAAGGATTTTTAATATTTAGTGGCACAGAAAAGTGTACCTGGTAGTCTAAAATGCTGAATCCTAAACCATTTTTGTCTTTCTCCAGTTCAATAATTTTCACATCAGGAGACCATAACGCTAATTCCCCTTCTTCTTCTTCATCAGGATTAATGTTTTCCTCAGGTTTCACCTAAAAAATAAGAACTCTAGTTCACATTCTATGCTTTGCAGTTATTTACAAGCACTACTAACTCAACATTGGATTACTATTAAAGACTCATACATGCCCTAAAATACGAATTTCTATTGAAGTAGAACTTGATCCAACACTATGAGTCTCACTTCAGAGATTGGTACCTTCTCCAACTTGATGCCTTGGATATACACTGCGTTCTGAGCACTGGGGCCCAACCTGGCATATAAGCATCCCTGTATTAGTCAAATTAGTTGTAGCAATATTACTAACCTGTTACATGTTGATGAACTTCAGCTGTCCCATTAGATGCATAAAGAAAAAATAAATATCTTAGCATACAAGATTTAACCAACCATAGTCACATACTGGAAAAACCAGATGTTAGATATGAACTGACACTTGTGGCATTTAATACGTAGACAAAAAATAGCTCTTAAATTGTAACCATGCAAGTCAGATCTGCTTTGAAAGAACATTTTCTGGCTTTTGTATTTCAGCACAAAAACTGTGAAAGAAGAAAAGTTACTCAATTTTATCATGTAAGGACAACTTCCAAATGCATTTATTGTTATACAAGTACATATACCAAAAAGGCATCTTTGTTTGTTTGTTTTTTTTGTTTGTTTTGTTTTTGTTTTAAACTTACATATGTTTTAATCTAGCTACTGATTTTACCAGTTAAATCTTTACAAACTATCAAAACGTGATGCCACAGGGAAAACATTAATTGCAACTTCACACTGTTTTGACTTTATTTCTCTGTACAAATATTGCATGCTGCACAGAGCACATCCATGAGGCAAAAGGAAGGATTTCTTCTTCTGCACACTTTTTTGTCTCATTTTCTCAGAAGAAAGTAGAAATACTCTGAGATTACTCCTTTTCATTAGAGACTTCTATACTGTCTTATGGCAAAGATATACCATCAGTATGCACGTAGAAAGATTTCAATAAGATACAACATTAAAAACACACTAGAACAACTTCTGTACGTAATGGAAAGATCCTTCTACAAAAAAGGTTTGATGTTGTGCACTCTACTCTTCCATGAAATGTCCATATTTCATTTTTTAACTCTCCTCCCAGAAATCCTACCTTACAGGAAATTAGATCAGAAAAGATGAGAAATCAAGGTGTAAATATACGTTATAAATAGGAACAGCCATTACAAGTGTCAAGCTTTAGTTCAAGACTTTAAAGCTTCTGCAATGGAAAGAAACATTAAGTTTAATATTTTTCCAGTTCTATAAAAAAAAAAACCTACTCAGAACATGGAAGTAATCAGCTAATGGTGGCAAGGATGTGATTTAGTATAATTCAAAGCTCTCACTCACCTATTAAGTGTAAGAATGATGAATACGATGTACATAGTCAGCATGCATTGGTGATTTACCTACCTTGTATTTATAGTACAATGAAGTTTCTCCCTTTCAACCTGCATAAACTGCAGTAAATGTAACACTGCTGCAAACATGAACTCTCTCTCACTGAAAAACCAGCAGTCCCTTACAAGCCCAAAGTGAGTCACAAAGGCAACTGCAGATAACAACTAAAAAGAAAACTGGGTTTAAATACCTACAAATGTATATTTAGAAATGTTAAGATTGAAAAGTCTGGACCAAACAACAACAAAAAAAGAAAACAAACACACTCTCTAGAAAGCTAAATTACTTTCTCAGAACCATATGCATGTTTGTTTGTTTTTTTTTTTAAGTGATCTTCAATATACCCAACTGAATGACATGAGAAGTCTACCTTTTGTTCTGGAGATGGAACTCTCACAGTGGGTTCATCCACAAGAGACTCACTGCCATCATCAAAAAGTCGCCGACAGCAAACCATTGTAAATGGAGGTGGCACTTCTTTTAGAAAAGTGATTGCCTCACGGCGTGACTTTCCATACAGCTGAACTCCATTTACCTGAACAGAAAACACATATTCACACAAAGTTATACAGAAGGATATCAAACAGATTACTTTCATCAATTTTGGGGTACTTGCCTTTACTTAGTTGCATGTGAAGATCTCATTTTACCTAGGAATTCCAGCAAAGCTTGCTTTGTTTTATTAACAACTGCTCCTTAAGTATATATACATGCATTACTATGAATGTTAAACTTGATCTTGTGACTATTGCTACATCATATCTCTGCTTTCTTCAGCTTCCTACAATTCATTTTCCGGTCACTAGTTTTCCTAGCACAAACTCTTCTAGAAATTACTTTATTCTGACTTGCTTGTTTGTTAGGAATTGCCTTTTTTTTTTTTTTTTTTTTTAAGCATTAGGGTTATCTATTTGAATTTAAACAGAAATGTTCAGTTTTCAAAAATGTTTAAGAAAACACAAATTTTAGCTCCAATCAAAAACTTGAAGTCAGAACTGGCCCATCTGTCAGTGCTTCAAATTGTAACAAATTGGTTGAAACTGATATAGATCCTACACAAAACATGCAAGAATGGTTATACAGTAGAAAACAAACCAATTACAGTAAGCAATTAATCAGAAAACCCTGAGAAGGGCCTAAAGTTACAACCCCACACGCTTTAGTGCTCCTGAGTGACAAAAGAAGACTATAAGGCCACTGTTAATGAATATTTTAAAACACAGACTTCTAAAAAGGTAATAATGTTGCTTTATAAATGAGACACTACAGGAAAATAAAAATACAGGGATGCATCCTCTTTTATATACTTCCATGATACGTAGTATCATGAGGCTACTTCTAACTTGCCCTGTAGTAATGCTATTAAATATGAGCCATGTAAACTGTCAGTAGGTGTTGTAGGTGTCAACATGAAGACTTCCATTGACAAGTACTGCAGCCCCAAAAGAGAAGAGGTTTAACCGAGTTAGTGCTATGGATTCAATATCAACCCTGCCTTTATCTCAGGGCTCTCTTTGAGGCCACCTCAAATCTGCTCTCGTGACCAAATGCCCAATATGGCTGGATTTCAACTAATCTACTTCCAAATCTGCTCCACAACACAGACCAAAACAAGGTGGGAATAACTGAAGTTTTCTGGTAAGATCACACAGCAAACTCATGTTACACACCATTTTAAATCAGATTTTATTTTTTCCATCTTTTCTTTGCACGCTTTACAGTATAAACATAGTTTATACTGCTGAGAATCAGAGTTCCTCTCCTACTAAAGAACACCTAAGGAGAAAATTCAGAATGCTAAAGCTTGTCTGCAACATTGTAAGATGAACTACCATGCTTTTTTCTGTAAGAACTGCATCAACTGCTGAGCTATCAGGCTAATCCATTAGTTAATTATTTAAGCAGAAGTATCTCCGTGTAAGGATTTTTTAATGCATTGAGACTGGCAGTGTGGTGGAAAGTTACCAGCATTTCTCAGCATATTGTGATTGATGGAGAAGAGCTACTGCTCACTCCCAAGCAGACTTGGGGACTCCCATTTCTGCTTTTACAGCTGCCAGAAATTGGTCTCTAGACACACAAGGTGCCATCACCCCCTTCAGTTACCACAACCCTCCAGTTAGCTGTGCTATCAAATAGGAGTCAGTGAAATTTCTCTCACAAAACTAGAAGAACAGGAGGAAGCAATTTACTTCTAAAAAAGAACACAATGAAATCAGCTAAAATTAGAGAAAAAAAAGAAAATACCATGTTTTCTATCATAATTCAAACACATCATTAAAAATAATCAGCAGTCAACCTCACTATATATTAAAGAAAATTCCTGTACTGATTGCATTTTAATCCCACTTGTATCAGGCCCAGGTAGAGCTGCTTGTTTGGGAAATAGGGCTGTCACATTTTCCATTGCAAACCTCTACTTAAAGGGATTTATAACTTGGCTGCAAAAACATACTCTGGGTTAAACCTGGCATATATAACTTTAGCCCTGGAGCACATTTTGATTTTGTTATTTTTTTTCCAGCTACAGAAAAAGAAAATATATGCTCACTATGCCTGGACGTATCTGTGTACTTAACTGTAGATACACAGTAATAAGTAAAATTGATAAAAAATAAATACAGAATTAAAGTTTCCTAAATTACTTTGCAGTAATTGCTTCTACCATACAACTTTTTGTTTAGTGGCCAAGAAATTTAAATGACACTTTCAGCATTCCATTAATCTCTTCCTTCAGGAATCGAGATTTCCTCCATTAAGTGATAACTGGAAGAGATGGTTTAGGTCTTAGTGATATCAGTATGAATTTTTGATCAACATCAAAGGGTGAACAACAAGTAAAGGCAATAGAGCAGTACAGCTAACAAATTAATCTTTCAGAAGCCTTAACTCTGTTCCCATTGATGTCAATTAAATGTTCTTTGCATCCACTAAAAACATTCAAAATATTTCATAAACAGTGTTTAACAGGAAATTAATGACTGCTTATTTGCAGGCCAAGATGTTGACAGATACAAACACAAAACAGGTATTATTTTAATTTGATTAAAGGTATATTCTTCCCGAGCTGATAGGTCTGGTCTGATTCTGATAACTTCAAAGCTATCCCAGTACCTCTCTATACATATTTAAACTGATGTACTACCTCTCAGACACTAATGTCTCTCAAGACTCAACAAGCAAGTTAAAATGCTTAACAGGAATTTCTGAGACTGCCATACATTTTTTTCAGGAGTGAAAAATATTAAGAAAGATTATCCACCAGGTAGAGTACAAAAGCTAATGCCAGTTTGCTCAAAAAACGGAAGGACCACAGATACATCTACATTCAATATTATTTCAGCCCTTGTGATTCCTGATAATTGTGTTAAACACTTTAGAAAAAAGCACGAAGTCACTAAGAAGTCACAAGGAGATGCACAAGGGTGGTGAAATGGTTAAGAAAACGTGAGGCTTCCAAAGCGTTGCACTGCTTTCACAATCAACTCATTAAAATTAGTATTGCGCACACTGCAACCAAACTAAAATCTAATAGGAGCATTTTAGAAAAGGTTTAAAGAATGCATCATTACTTCTGTTTGCTTTACCTCTAGAAGTTCATCCTCCAGTTGCAGAAGACCAAGTGTTGCAGCAGGACCGTCGGAAGCAATTGATGATATGTAATGATGTCCATCAAACGTGTCAAGCTCAACTCCTAATCTCAAAGTATGGATGGGTAATAGCTGCCAAAAGATGAGACACTATGTATCTGCACCTACTATAATATGAACGCATTTAAGACTTAACAGCTCAAATTAAACATGGTGAAACTATTGTCTTAATTATTGACTAACACTGTCTGTGTTACAGCACAAATGTCCAGAATTTCTCTATACAGACCATTTACACACACAAAACCAACCCATGAATCCTTTGCAATGTACTCTTAAACAGTGCTGCCATTTGAAAAAAATGCAAGGAAGAGAAGCACCACTCAAGTAAGTCTGTCCTACCCAAACAGAGAGTTTTGAAAAAGCTGACAGAAATTCCATCACGACCATTTAATGCTAAGTCAACAACCCATCACAGGACCAGCTGTCTTGACCCTTGAGGATCTACACTACTTTCAGAGTAGGAAAAATATCCATGGCATCCTCTGCGCATATCTAATCTTATTTCTGCAAGGTAAATTCATTGATTTTGTGTTAGCCTTTTCTCATGGGATCCCTTTTATTCTACTTTTTTTCCCCTCCAGAAAGCCTCCAATTCTTATTGCCTTTCTGCGATCCAGACAAGACAGCAGGGATCACAGCAACCCACGGAGAGGAGGCAAAAATGATCAGCAGCATCTGCTCCTTCAGTTTGGCAACTTTCTGGTTCTTTATTACTTAAGTTGAGACACTGAATCTCCTCCCAGTTTCCCAGTTTATTCTGGATGTTTAAAGCAAAAAGGAGCAATCCATTCATCATCATTTCCTCACAGCCATGCCTTATTCTGACTTTATGGTCTTTCTTCACTGAGACAACCCCACAAGCACATAAATGCATCACTTCAAAAACTTTGTTTTGCAGTACCAGCATACATACCTTGAAAGTCTACCAGAAGTTTCAGAAGAAAGAAATTCTAACATCCTAACTAAAAGGCCACACCATCCCAAGGCTGGATCATTACACTGAATCCCTGCACAGGATTATGACACTGTTTAACAGAGTTTCAAACCCTCCTTCATTCTGCAGTAACTTTCAACAACTATTCTACAACTGAATTTCAATGCAATTAAGCACCCAACAATTTTTTTAGCTTGGTTGTTTTGCTTTTTTTTGTTTGATTGTTTTTATAAAGGAACATTTTCCAATTGTACTAAAAATACTTTGGACCAGTCCAGAAAATAGGCAGGCCATAGGCAGCCTCTTTTTGAAAAGAGACTGATAACTGGAATCACCCCAAATTTATGAAATATTTATGAAAATATTTACGAAATAAACAAATGTGGAATTTTGAGTCATAAATGGCAACATACAACATGAAGGAAAAAATCATACAAGTCATACCTTTGAGTACTTCTGGAGTTCTGAGTCATTTGTAATGGGCATATCCACGTTCACAACCTAAGGAATTATACAGCGTAACTATTTTCAATACCAGGACAATATTATATTGATGCAGAATAATTTTAAATGAGTGGTAGAAAACCTCTGATGCCCAACACTTACATTTTGCAATGCTATGATTATGCTTTATTAGCAGATTCCAATATTATCCTATTCCTGAAGCCTGAGTGACAATTTTAGTCAAGTCCAGTAATCCTCTATAAGCACAAAATGCCATTACATTTGACACAAATACCCACAGCAACTTGCCAATCAGAACTGAAAATTACAATGGCCTAAATTATTCAGGCAACAGTAGAGCCACCTAACATCTAGACTAAATCTCTGTCTTCTGCAGAATGTTTCTAACATGGCTTGAAATACATGAGTTTAATTACAAATTTGAATGCAAAATGAATCATATACAAGAGATAGAAGAAATCCCTTCAGTCTATCTTTAGGATTTGTTTTTTTCAATTTGAATGCAATAACTTAAATATTTTCCACCAATTTTCTTGTGAAGCTCTTTCTTAACAGAATTCATTTGTAGCCACGGAAGGATATTTATTCCAATTTTAATTGTAATCAGATGAAATCTGAAGTGATCTATGGTCCAAGGCTGAAGTCTGGGTCACTGTCATCGCAGTTTTTGGGAAGTCAGCTCTATTTCTTAGATTGGAAACATATACAGCCTTGCAAAAATCAGGTAACTGTTTCCATTCAGGCTCCCTTAGAAATTTCTAGTGTAATAAAGTATCTAGAAAGCAACCTTAAGTCTTGGCTTGCTCTTCCAGATTAACTTTAAATAGGGCTTCCAGAGTCCTGCCTTTTACCCCTGTACCTCAGGTATTTTTCCCAACAGACAGAATCTGTTTCATGTCCACCCAGTTGTAACTAAATGAATCTAGGACTGATAACTCCTCAACCTGACTGTTCTCAGCTCGGTACTTGGCAACAAACACCACACAGCCATAAATCCCTAAGCAGTCTCCCAGGGTCTCTTTCCTTTCAACAGAATCTCAGTTTTGTTCTTAAGTTGCTCCCACAAAAGACTGGAAACACAGAAGCCACCAGTGACATTAAATCCTCTCTTCAAACAATGATTTCCTCTGAAGAGAAATACTTAAGAGAAGTCCTCCGACTCACAGTCACTTTCAGGATGAGTTTCAGGGGATCTGAGAGTAGGGGCAAGGACAGTGAGAAACAGGGAGCGAGCCATCAGACTGCAAACAAACTAAACTCTGTTACTTCACACAGCCAAGCAGAGCAGATGACAAAAACCGGAAGAACCAAAAACTGACCTTCAAAACAGGGTGTTGTAACAGCTTCCTTCTGTTTTTCAAAAGGACCAACTACGTCTTAACCACAATTAACACTAAATGGTCTTAAAAGTTGTGCCAGGGAAGGTTTAGATTGGATATTAGGAAGAATTCCTTCACATAAATTGGAACGCGCTGCCCAGGGCAGTGGCAGAGTCGCTGTCCTTGGGGATACTGAAGAGATGCAGATGCATCACAGTGTGGTGGTGGACTTGAAGCACGAGGTTGATGGCTGGGCTCAATCTTAAGGGTCTTTTCCAACCTAAGTGATTCCGTGATTTTCACTCCTGCCATTTTGCTGGCGGCAGCTCACGAATTAGAAACGCACAGTTTCACAAACTAAGCAGGTTTTTGTCCTCTGTGGGAAGCACGATAGTGCTAAGGAAGAAATATCAGACTCCTGAAATGTAAGGATGGGAATACCAAGCAACTGAAGTGGGCAGCCGACCAGATTTATGACACCACGTACATAATCTTATACGAACTTCAGATCTTAAAGCAGTGCTAATGGAAAGAAGCGAAGCGAGTTTCTCAAGACAATTCTTAAAGCTACTTTAAATCTTCCAGCGAGCAATTGGAATGATGGCTACTCCAAGTAGTAAAAATAAGTGTCTCTAAATCAACTGGACAAGCATTGCAAAGACAAACAGGGCATTTCGCTGGTGGCGGCGAGAATTTTTTAAGGCTTCAGAAGGAAGGTTGGCTGGAATTTCTTTTAATCTGTACTCACTGGCTAACGTAGCACTGAAGAGCAATAGCTAATTACCATTTCAGTCAACTCCTTATGACAATTCATCAAAACAATCTTTTGCTTGGCAATTATTTAATACAAGGTGAAGAAATATCTAATAGGCACTGGCACCATGAAGTTACATTACCTTGAATTACTTCCTGTTTTTCCTGTATGGTTGAAAATCATTCTTACATCTTTCTAATCAAACCCTGAGATTCTCTGTGAAACATCACAATTCTACCTTTTCTTTTTTTCTTTTCAGTGTGCAATAAACCAAACAGTCTCTCAATAAAATCATAAAATTGCCACATATTTTAAGTGGCTGCTGCGACGTTGATTTAAAAAGACAGCCAATTTTCTTAAATCCCCATTTCTGTCCAGTATCTGTGTAACAATTTAACAATAGTATTTATATAAATAGCATTTACAAAAAGTATCAGCTATACCATTTCTGTATTTCAGCCTCGATGCTAATGGAAACAAAACTTGATGTTACTGATCTGTTCCAAATGCTGAACAGTTCTATAAACAGCCTGTAATAAGCTCACAAAGCTGTAATTTTAAAAAATAACACACATGAATGTAGTTTATTGAAAGGTAACATACCATAACTTCATATTCAGGGCCCAGCAGGTTTTCCCACTTGGACTTTAGATCATATGCAGAAGATAATGGGTCTCTTCCTAAATATGAAAGGGAGGATTACATTTTGCATTCAGAAATACATTTGCTTCTAAACACTTCCATAAAAATTCAGTGTAAATAAAAGATTATAGGAAATAATCACATGCGCAAAAAAAAAGAAATTGCATTAAGCTGAGCCTATCAAACAGTGCAAATCAAAAATGACTTTCTAAGGAAAACAATGCAAAATGTCAGCTAGTGCTAAAGTGTGATTTATTCAGCTGAGTGGCAGAAGAGGTGATGCTTGCATTGATGAGATGTGAGTTCTGTCCCGTATAGTACTGTAAATAAATCATTCTTTCAGGCTGCAAAATAAATCTCACATGACTTCATAATTTGTTGCTATAAAAATGCATGCCACTCCAAGGGACCATTATCTTCCACCAAAATGAACCCCTGAAGAAGTAAAACACCTGACAAGATACTGCTGTTATCATGGAGCTGTGTAAGCACAATGCAGTTATACACTTTATTTATACATTTGGCAGGTACAAAGGCTTGTCTAGTTTAATTAGGCCAGTAAGTAACATGAGCTTTAATATAAGCTCCAGTTCTAAACCAGTCTTCCGTGGGAACTTGCCTATCTTGACATTTATATCTTTTCAGCTTTCTTACTTATGCAACCAAGGCAGTATTACAGTCATGTAAGACAATTTGACAGAGCTAGACAGCATAAAATGACTGGCTGCCCTGCATTTGACCTCCTCCAGAAGCTCAGCACACATATAAAGTTCCAAGCTGAAGCAACATTTAACTGGTAGGAATCAAACTCTAAAGCAAATTTCATCTAGCAGCTACAACAGCAGCAACTGGAGTCTGAATTACTGAAAACTGTTTTTTTTCCCCCGAATGACTGTAATAGTTTGTCAGATGTCTAGACAAGGCACAGACCACTTAGTACTGCCCATGTGTCACACTGAAACTTAGAATGTAAATCACAACCTCACATTTTGCACACAAATGAGCAAGCAAAATACTCAAATAGATTCTGAAGTCACCAAGAAGCTCAGAACTTACCTAGTAGGAAAAGAAAAGACACATGGGATGCCTAGCTGCCTTCACTTTCAACACCTTCATAGATTGCAAAGATAAAACATGCGAGCTTTGCAATACAATTCTCATTACCTCATCTTAGAACTTCAAAGTTTTCCACTCATTAAAGATATAAAGTTAAGTTCTACAACATAACTGTATTTCCTCCATCACTTTCTGTCATGTCAGATAGGCAAATTCTGTCTGACCTGCACTGAGAAATTACATTGTTTAGAGCCTAGGAACTGAGATTTCACTTGGGAACATCCAGTGCGCCTTTAAGCAACAGTCTCAAGTTGACTTAGGTATTCAAGGATTCCAGCAATTCAGATAACCAGTTTCTGTCACCAAAAGAAACTCCACCAATCATGGTGAAAACTTGGGTGTTATTTTTTTTGTTTCTTTCTTTGTTTTTAGATACAGACCACGGCTCTCTTTGAAATAAATTATCTTCTTTAGAAAAGAGAAGACAATTTGTACTGCAATTCTGGAACACGTCTTGAGACGTTTTCTTCCATTTGAATTTAATTGAAGTTTCTAGGGAGAAGTCTTCTTCATGAGCTGTATCATCAAGCATAGGCTGATTGCTATCATTTACTTCCCAACTGTAGCAAAAACAGAACATCAGTGCATCTTCTTACTCCTCCTATTTGCATAAACATTTAGAAACAAAAAATCTTCAGTTTCTTTTCTGACTACTTCCAAGCGATACCTTGGACACACACAACTTAAGAATCTGCAAAGCCCTGTGCAGTCTGATACGGATTTTAAGGTTCACCAGGAGCAATAAATCTTAGGGTCAGGCTCCAAGTTCAGTTCAGCAACTGTAAGCTATGTTCGAATTGGCTGAAAACAGATTTCTTCATCAATTCCTAAACACATTACCAAAACTCTATAGGTTGTACAGAACATGTGCTGATGCACATCTCCGCGTGAAGTTTTCCCCTTTCTTTATTTCAAACAAGCTTGGAAGTCTCTGTGTGTAACTTCCTCAGAACTGTGGAAAAGCAGGATGAGCAGGTTTGGATTAGATACATTTAATTTCAACGCTATCGCTCAGTTCACCTAAATGCTCCTTTTCCCCCCCAAACAGCTTTTTCCACATGATAGTTAATAGAAGGTTTCTTTTTAGTTTCTCATCCAGCTGGACTTCTCATGACCTGAGACATGTACTACATCTTCTGGAATGTGCTTCAGAAATGAAAACGCTTCCTAGGACAGCTTCTATTAGCAATAACTTTCAACATAATTACAGTCCTGTCCTTCTGCCTGCACTTCCACAGTTTTTCCTTTCTCACTTGACAGCATCAATTAAAAAAAAAACAATCACACATGTACTGTAAAAATCGTATTTTTTTGGTTAAAATTGCTGGCTTCTTCTGAACTGGAATCTTTTCTTCTTGTAATTTCCTCTGGATTTTGTGAACTCACTACACAAGGACATCTCCTGTACTCTAGTATATTTCACTAGCACACTTTATCTTCCCTACTGTTGGATGTTTTTCTCCAGCCATCTTTAAGCTCCCAGTTACCATCGTCACATCTTCAGATTCTGAGTGCTGCTTCAAGGCAAAAGAAAGCAGTTCTGCCCAGCTCACAGCCTTGCAGATGCAGCTGTTAAGTTAATTGCCTTTAGTGTGCTAGCAGAAAGTTTCAGGCCTCGTGCACACTGCATCCTAAACCGTGTTGCATTTGTAATAGCATTGTTTAAGCACGTCTTAGCCTGGTCAGAATTACTATTTAATACCTCTCCAGGAAACACAATTTAATAAGAATTTCACACAAGTGGGCTTAAAAGGAAGCAATACATAATTTATAAAACATACTTTTTGCATTAAAATTTTAAAAGCATTTCCAGAGAATAGTCAGAGCCTTAAATTAGCAGTATTTACTTTAGTACCGTTATAATGAAGTGTCCATCACCATGTCCAAAATAAGCACCTATTTTTGAAATCTGGTGACTACACCGAGGCGAAATCTTAGACATCATATTTCAGCATGAATAGAATTCACAATTAAGTATTTCAACTTTTTTACAAAGATGCACACATTTTACAGCAAAAAGGTTTTGCAGAACCCTGTAAATTAATGTGGTTTTTCCCTACGAAAAGTTTAATTAAGCAATGATGTTTGCTTATTAAAGGCCACCGATTCCATACTCCATTTTAAAACCACGTCCCTTTCATTTTCCTGTAGGTCCAAAAAGGACCAGCACAAGATGATACCAAGGGCAAATTTTGGTATCTCAAGACACACTGTGCAAACAAACACATCAATCTGCATTATCCAGGGTAAGAGGAACTTGTATACTATGGGTTTTTCCATTCTTCCATTATACTTGCTCCACGACGCACCATGATGCTGTCTCTGCTAGCAAACAGCAAGGGTCTAGCCAGGAGGTATGAATTCCAGGCATCAAGGTTCTTCAGACTCAGGTACATCTGCACCATACTCCATAGTGCTCCAAGACAGGGATAATGAGATTAGCACAGCATTGGAAATGAGGGGGAGCCACTCACACACATAAAATTTGGTTACAAACACCTACAAAAACTAGGAGCTTTGGAGCAGTTATGGAGAGGCAATGGATCCATATCAAAGAAACTGAGTATACTGTGAAAAGGGCTCAAGAATACAGTTAGATCCAAGCTGCCTCTTAGCAGAACAGAAATCTCTAAGACAGGTGTAGATAACCATCTTGAGACAAAGAGTTTGGTAACTTCAAGACAGGTAAAAGCCATTCTAGTTCCCCACACAAACTGGTCTTGGCATTGATGTACTGTACATGCACAGTGTTAGGTACCAGATAACGAATTCCTTGAGAAGTTCTCTTTGCATCAGGTTGAACATCTGTCACCTGTGACACAAGATAACCCAATCACAAGTAGTCAGGAATTGACTACAGAGACATTGTTCACTTCAGCAGAAGAGAAGACCTTATGCACAGAAAGTTCAACAGGATTTAGAGCAAAGAAAGGACTAGGTAATTGACACAGGACAGTGTATTATTCTTCTAGCCTCTGGCACAGTGAGCCTAAGTCCTCCTGGCTCTTCTGAGCCTAAAAATGTCCTGCAGCTCCTAAATACTTCCTACTGCCAAGCCCTTAAATTCTTCCACCAGTGTAAATACAGATCAATATACACTTTTCAGTCATACAGCTAAAACAATGATTTGATAACCTTAAACCATAGCTACTCAATCACCTCTGTTTTGGCTTCCTATTTCTGGGAACATGCAAAAGTCACAACAAAGGATGTCTGGTTATAAGGCTTGGACAGAAAAGTAAAACAGAATGGAGCATAGAAACTGCTAACATTTCTCTCATTTCCAGGTTGTCTTTAATACTGACAGATCTTCCACAGTCATAGCAAAATTGTTATTCATTGACAGTCATAATTTAGACTCCTCTATTGCATCTACATATTTAAGAAACTACAAGGCATAAGGATAATTTATGCTGACTTCAACACAATCTGTAGAAATTCACCCAGAAGATACTGTAGATACGGCCAGAAATCAGCAGAGAACTGAAGCATACCTTCTGGAAAGACCAAACCCGAAGAAATCCATGCCTTTGTGATCTGTCTCTATGCCCAACTGCCTTTACTGGTAAAAACGCATGTCTAATTTCAACTCCTATCCAGCTTCCAATTCCACTTATCAGGTTTTATAATGCCTTTGCCAGATTGTCAACTAGCTGCATTGGTGTACAGTCAACATCCTCCCAGTATGCTCAGGACAAGCAAGCCAGAGACTCAACTCTAGTTTCCAGCAGTAGTATGGGAGGAAGCACTACGCAATGATATTAGTACTGCAAGACAAATGAGTTGGGTCTGGGAACTAGCAGACAGCAATGAGAGGCTCATTGCCAAGTCAGGAATCTCACAGGAGGTCAATGTAACTTATGCCAGGCTTCCTGCTTCTCTGGCACTTCAGGAAATATCAGTGATCAGGAGCACAATAAGCAGGGCAAGCAAACAGGAGGGAGGCAGTTGGTACACAGATGAGACAGATGCTACTGATGGAAAATGACCTACAAATGAAGATGTCACAAGACATGAAATCCCCATCTCTGCTGCTGCAGCCACCTCTGGTACTTCAGCAAGCCCTGCTCATTTAGGAATTCCTGAAAAGTTGCTGCAGCCCAGGTCACAGGCTGCCAGAGGCCAGGTCAAGGAGCTCAGGAGGTAAGTTCTGATCAAGTTTCTGCAGGGCCAGAAGACAGAGCAAATGGGCACCAGGAACGAACAAATATTTAGAAAAGGCTCTGCAGAGGTGGGAGCTTAAGACCTGCGAGTGCAAGAAGGAAGATATGACTGAGGAAAGATTGGATTACCAAGTAAAGGTGAACTTCCAAGAAGGTGGAAGCTGACTCTGACTTCTGGCAGGAGGAGGAATGCTCCATCTCCATGCTGTTCACTTAGTGATTTGGTTCAAGGTCCTGACAGCAGAGGAGGATGAAAAAATTCTATCAGAAGATTGCAGGCAGGACACTTCACATCAGGGAAATATCACGGATAGAAAGAAGAACTGTAAGCTGGAGCAATTCAGCTGTACAGAACCGATGAGATTCTTTCCATAGTCCTGAAAGGGCTGTAACATCAATGGATATCATCTACCAACATGCCAGCAAATCTGTGGACATTGTTACTGGGATGAGGTTGGGTGAAGGAGTTGATAGATCTACCAGGTAGTGCTTTACTTCAAAAAGGACTTGAATAAAAGGTATTACGGAACAAAGGCTAAAGACCACACAGGCCATAACAGCTAATCAGTACTGAAACTAGGTTAAAGGCTTTTTCAAAGACTCAGAAGAAACACTGAGAGACATTCTATCCACCTGATTTATGTAGAATCTGCTTTTTTTCATTTTGAAAATTATCCTTCTGGTTTTGGTTTTCCTCATTCCTACTGTCCAAACTAGTTTCAGTCCCTAAAGCTCCAGAAGATGCTAAAGCTGAAACACTTGGCTGCACTGTGAAAATAGATGGGAAAAAAATAAATCAGACACATCCTGCAAAATACACGAACCATTAACAACACTTCATTTACTGCCATTTTTGTTTGTGTTTTGGCTACACGGGAGTTTGGCACTCAGTTTTTCTGAAGTATTTCATCTTCTACAGTGTGTCCTTATCAAATCTAGAATCATGTGGGACTTAGTCCTAATAGTTAAATTAACTCGCTGTAAATTCAGCAGAAACATCAATTACTGAAAAAGGGAGGGGAAAAGAAAAGTCTTACCTTTATCTGAACATCTTTCTGAAGAAACAGTAGGTCTCCTCCTGAGTAAGGTGAGGCGTACAACCTGCCCAGTGTTACGCAGCGTCTCTACCACTTCTTGGTTGGTAAAATCCTGAATATCAACTCCATCAACCTAAATCACATCATATAGCAGTTGTCACATCACATTCTTATGCTGTACCATACATTTTAAGGGATGTCCACATTATTTTGTGCAGATGTTACAAGGTTATTCAGCCAAGATTTTGGGAAAACTATCTCATGAAAACAGTTACATTTCACTAATCAGATAAAATTTTCAAAATGCATTTTAAAAGGAAACACAACAGTAATTTCTCCTGTGTTCATGGGCCAACAATAAAACAGGAAATTGCTATTCTAAGTGTGCACTGATTTCTCCCTATGATTTTTTTTTTTTTAATTTGCAAAGAACAATTTGAAAAGCATCACGGATGAAGCAAGAGTAGTCAACCTAGACATCTTTTCAGTTAATAATCACTGCTAACATACTGCACACAGCCCTATGTACATAACTGTATAATCAACTTTGAACAGCTTAATTAATAAACAAATTCAGATGTTTCAATTTACAGTTAGAATACTGTATACTCTCATTGTTAGATCACACATCAATAGGGGCTTCACCTGCAACCAGCAGATAAAAGCTGAAGTTGATATCAAAAATTTCATTCTCATAAAGGAGAAGCTGACTTGGGAAGGTCCTGGTACAGCACACAACTTTAAAAAGTATTTTTAAATCATATCTCCATAAATGTTATTTCTGAAAATAAAAAGATTGTGCAATTCATTCCTGCTTGTTCAGTGAATGCAATATTGGCCATTATTTAAATGAGTCCTATTCAAAGGTTTTAAGTTTTCTACAAATAAATCCTGGGCTTTTAAATATAAATTGTGACTATTAATATTTTGATTGTATCCACAGTATTCTACACACTAATTAGAATCATAAAGTGTGCTGCATCTTGCAAAATCTTAACTACCCTCACATCCCGTTAAATTCAATAGAAGCTAATGCTTCTCATCTTTACTTTAGGCCAAAAGCCAAGATTCTCCACTCAAACATTTTAATCCAAATGCCTGCCTCTTTGATAGTTAACTACCATTTAATACTTATTTGAACAACAACAAAAAATATTTTAACCACAGAAAGCCAAAGCTCATTGCTGTAAAAATTCAAACAGAATATTTTAAGATGTTTAGGTAGAATAGATGAAACAAATTCTTACTTTACAAAGCAGAGGAGGCTTAATTAATTTTAGAAAGTCTCTAGTAAGTTGTTCTTTTAATGCTGAGACGTGTAATGAACCACCAGTTTACAATACATAAGCAGAATATTTTACTTACAGCAACAATTTTGTCATGAACATGAATTTGGCCATTGTGGTCAGCAGCGCTACCAGGTATTATGTTTTTCACAAAAATCCCTGAAGATTCTGCTGGTAGTTGTAAGGGAGAAAGGGAAACAAGTCATTCAGCTAATCTAATTTATTTTCTTAAGTTTTTTTAATTACAGCATTTCTTACGCAGTTGTCCACACAGCTACAATTCTGCAAACAACCAACATTTGCACATTCCCACTTTACACAGCTTGACATGGAGCAACTGAGGACATCTGAAGGAAATAACTAGCAGTGGCACAAGCAGCACACAACCTATATGCTGACTTTGATAATTTTTCTTAGAAGTGGCTCACAGAAGGCCACCTCCTCCATGGATTCATTCATTTCATGGGCCTTAAACCACAATCACATAAATCCATGCCGCATTTGATTTCAACAGGACTACCCAAGCTAAAAGTAAAGTATGTGCTTAAGCACTTTGATCAAGACTTCAATCATCCTCTTCTAGCTAAAGAATTTAGTCCTTTAAGTCTTAATGAAAAAGGATTTAAAAAAAAAAAAAAAAAGGGAAACATGGTAATCAGAAAAGCTGTCCTTTGTCATGTTTGAAGTTTGATTATTAATTTTAACTTCTAATTAGATGTAGGAAAGTAAAAAAAAAAAGCAACAAAACACAAAAAAAAACACAACTAACAAAACCACAACAGTACAATCATCAGTTGAAATAGTAACTTCTCCCTTCCACTGCCTCCCTACAGTCCCCATATAAAAAAAATTGTGATCTTTAACCATATTGGCACTTCATCCATCTTTTTGTCAGCACTAAACTTCCTCTGACATCTGTCCAACACAACTTGTCCATGCTCAGCGATCTCCCTTGCTGGCACTACAAACCCACCTTTTCTCTTTGCCTCCCTGACCCAGTTCTCAGCACCCATCACACCAGCCTGGGATTCCTCAACAGCAAGCCCACAGTATGTCCTGGCAATCGAGAGTGCAGTAATGCAATCCTACTTGCATCACATTCCCAGCATATTTTATCAAGTGCTATGAGAAGACCCTATCATTTGTGAAACCAATAGTTTAAATTAGAGCTATTACCCAGTCTTAAAAGGGGAAAAAAAAAATCCTAGCAAAGGTATTTTTAGCTGTTCCCTAAGTTTAGGTACAGAAGCACTCATCCACCAAAGAGTCATAAATCACCCTGTGATAGTGGCATACACATCACACTCATTTGTGAATCTCTGTATCTCCTGCCTGGCAGAGAAATGGACTATTTAATCTGATTGATCATTTCTATTCTAAAGCCTACAATTCGTTAAATAAACGAAAGTGCACGTTGAGCTATTTTGGACGTCCTGAAGATGTCATTCAAAAACAGATGCAAACTGGGGACATGCAATTCTCTGTTTTTTAAACTCTTCTTAAAACGTTCCATCTGACATGTGAAAGATATCACAGGGCAAAGCAAGGAATAGTGTAGGCAGCCTGTATAAGCAGGAACTCTCTGTTACAGTTTAACATCTTGCACAGTGACAACACAAAGGTGTAAGATTCACAGTCCAGCAGTCAAGTGGGAACCATTTAATAAGATAATTACAATTCTAAAAAAAATCTATGGCTCAATTTCACTTTGTAGCAAGTTCTTTAAACATCATCTTCATAGATTTTGTAGGTTATACTGTTTCAAAGAAGTGCTCTCCATTTGATGTGCAGTGAATAAAGAGTATTTGAAAAGCTCCTGTCCCGGACTTGACTAAACCTCATAGAACTCACCTACATCGCATGCACCAGCATATCCAACAATTGTTATCCCCAGGCTTTGCCCGTTCTTTTTTATAAGTTCAACATCATGGGTCTCAAAAAGAACTGTATTATCCTATAAATAAAGCACAAGACAGTTAAAAAAAAAAAGCCAAATTCTCAGTACCATTAGTGTATTGCAGGTTAAGATATTCATAAGCAAGCAGTGATATTGATTTTCCTATTTTAGGAGGTATTACACTTGCAAAGGTGAAACATCCAGGATTTTCTCAACGCAATGTGTCACCCAAAGTCATTAACTGCTTTCAAAAGTCTTTGCTACTATTTCTCCACATACTTGACAGACATCTAATGTTCATATTTCATTGAAAACAAGAATTGTCATTAGACAAGGGCTTAAGGGCCCTTGGATTTCACTGCCATTTGGTAATAACAGACTTCCCAGTAAACCCCAAAAGTCAACAGAAATCTTAAACACCTCCGCCTTTCCTGATAAGAAGTGTCATGAATCCACTTGTGCAAGCTGTTTCTGCTGGACAGTTAAGAAGTCAGAAAACTGGTATAAATATGCAGGCTTATCACATCACACACTCCTGTCAGAAAACAGTGATGCTAAAGAAGTGAGGAGCAACAGAAAAGGGATTTCAAAGAAGAGACAGGTTCGATGTCCCGAAACAGAGGAAATCACACATACACATAGTGGACACACTTGTACTAACAGAAGCAGTTGCCTGCTTAAATGCAGCTATGTGTGACCATGCAGGTACCCGTGCTTATTCCTTGTTTCTATGCTGTACTCCAAACCATATCAAAAGTTAATCTTTAGAAAGGTTGCATCATTGACAATGGTAACAATCAATTAGTGACATACAGGTCCTTCTTTGTGGCAAGGAACACAAAAACAGTATTTTGTACTGGAAACAAAACTTGGGCCAAGTTTTTACACAGCACAGGCCTCAGAAAAAATGATATAGCTAGAAAGTAATTCTTCATAGCTCCTCTGATTATGAATTTTTGTCGTTATTTTCTTAAGAAAAGAGTATTTGATGAGAGAGGCCCACATTTAAGACACCAGCCTTAAGGAATATAGACTACCCATTTCATCTCTCTGCCACTCCAAATTCCTACGCTTCCAATAAAAGGAGCTTGAGGGGACTCAACCACTGCACTGACAGCTGCAGTCACAGTAGCCTACCAAAGAGATGCAAGGTACGCACTTCTCCCCAAAGCTGATGTCTGCCTTTGCAGTGACTGCCCAGTAAGCAAGAAGATGAATTTCTAACGACAGGACTGCTAGTCTGACCTTTAAAGATGGTGCTTTAAAAAATTCACTCATTTCACTCATATTCAGAAAACTAGATAAGGGAGAAAAGGCTACTGGGATTCTACACCTAAATCTAAGCAGCACAGGAGTAGCAGATGGTGCACAAGCACAGCTTTGTTTATGTTTCAAGACCTACTGTACACTTAGTGTAGCATTTGTTGATTTTAATTACTCAAAACTGAAAAGAATGACTTCAAAAACAAGAGACTTTGATATGACCATGTTAAGATTTGCTAAAACAAGTTTCAAAATTTTTAGATATATTTCCTATCACAGACAGTAGTGTAGACTATGAAAACATCACACTTATGTTTCATAAAAAAATGATAGTGCTGAATAATTCTGGTTTGGCCATGGCACTCTGGCTTTCAGACTAGGGAAATTCACACTGAGGTTTTAAATCCCCTTACAAATGATTGATTAGCAAAAATGTAATTCGTGAGAAAGGAGAACAAGAAGCACCATTTATCGATAATATTCATGGTCTTGATAATTAAATGAATGCTTTGAAATAAATTCCATACAGCTGGTCATTTTGATCCCAAGTTTAGGGGCATTAATAACATTAAAAAGCAGGGGAAAATTACAGAAGATGGAGCTAAAGTAATGATCACTTAAATATATAAATACAATAACTGGAAACTCAGAAGCATTTTAGGTGTCAAAAATGCTCTCTGTTCCCCTCCTTTCTGGTCCCAAGCCACAAACATACTTTAGAAAAATCATAAGCAGACATCAGATACTTACATTCCCATTTTGAAATGAAGGTAGTGCACTGACTGGCCAGCTCACAGGAGCTGGTGGACTCTCTGTCATTTCACACTTCGGGTCTCTTGCAACTACCATCCTAACAGAATTCCCACAGTTTCTCAGCACTTGTGCAACTTGCTCGCTGCTCATTCCCTGCACGTTGGTCCCTCCAATCTGTAAGATGTGATCTCCAGTCCGGAGCCTCCCATCCTTCAAACATAAATAACATTGCAAAAATTTTTTTCAGGATGTAAAAACTGAAACTGCCTATGTGAATTTTCATGACAGGCAATACAAAAGAATACAATCAGACTGGCCATCATTGCAACATATGAAGTAATTCAAGGATGTTTTCAAAATATTAAGCGATGTTTTTCCCACAGCAGTAAACCATGGTAAATCAGGCTTTTCAAAACTAAGATATACACAGGTTGAATACCACTGCTCCTAAGGAAATGGCTACTTTTCTTATTTAGGAAAAAAAGGGCAACAACATTTTAGAATTGTAAAATGGCTTGGGTTGGAAGGGATCTCAAAGACATACAGTTCCAACCCCAAAATATATAATCTTATAGGCTGCTACATATTGCAGTTTCCTAGAAAAAAACTGCATAGAACAGGGGTTAGAATTTAAAGTTGCTAATAATGCTTCTATATTAACTTGGCAATTCTTTTTTCACACAACCAGCTCCAACTCAAGCAAGTAACTCCATTGAAGGTAACAGGGCTTTGCACACACACAAACCATATTTTACATGATGATTATAATTCATGGCCTACATCACCACTCCTAATATAAGCAAGCATTCATAGCACCAAATGCTCAGCTGGTATTGATCAGCACAGCCCTACCATCTTAGGTGTGCTGATTTATACAGCAATCATAGTGGAGTTATTTCCAGGACTAACTCAAACTCATTTACAAATCCATCCAATTTTAACATATATATGCACTCATTATTTCACATGTTCTTAATGATGTCTCATTCAGCTGAGAATGATGTGGTGAGTTCTTAACTTACATGCTTCATTTGTAGCCAAGACACTTTATTCCTTACAGCAAAACAGGTGCTACACAATAATTAAAAAATACTCATACATACATGACAGGTTTAGGGGAAGTCAGTCAAGTAAGAGCCAGCATTTTCCACTAAAGCTCCCTGAATCTCCAGTTTTTGTTTCCATCCTATACTAGAGGAAGTAATTTAATAGAACATACATTCTTTTATATGTTACTGGGTCTTGACTGCATGGGCTCCAATTCTCAATGCAACAACTTTTCATGACCAAATTCACATTAAAAATCCAGATCTTGCATGTGTTCTACTCCTGAAATGTAGCAATACTTTTCTGGATCTTTAAAAACTGGCAATCAAAAGTTGCAAATCAAACCTATACAACTTTAGAAGATATCAGAAACTTCAGAAAGTCTTGCAGAAAGTATCAGAAGTACTGAAACTACGAGAAGGTTAGACAACTTTTTAGCATTTTTGCATGTTCAACAGTAGTTTATAAGCCAAAGCACATCTGAGAAACAACTTAATTTGTATCAGGTGCTGACTTTTTCCTCAATCATATCTTCAACATATTTATTTATAAAGTATATGTTGGCATTCAGACTTCGATGCTATCAGCTTCCTTTTGTTTAAGCATACTAGTTTATTTTAAGACTGTCAAAAGCAGTTAATTATACTTTGCAATCAAATAAGAAGTGACATAATATAACAAATTACCCGATCTGCTAATCCTCCAGGAACAATGGTTCTTACAACTACACCACTCAGCTTTCCTCCTACAATTCCAAAGCCTAATCCCGAGCCATCGTTAATCAGCTCAACGTTTTCAACGTGGCCCCAACGAATCTGCAATTAATAAGAAGAGAAGACTTTAATTTCAGTCCATCTTTAATGTTTCTTAATTTCACCTGCACCAGGAACAACAAAAAATCAAAGCACCTCTTCTCTCTTTGCCACATACTCGAGATCTCTTGGATTTTTCTTCCGTTGGCTTCATTTCCTTATAAATACGCAGTGGGATTTTCTCATCTCTTATTAAACACTTTGTCCTTTACTTTCATAACAGGATACTAGGAAAAAGCTTGACTAAGAAGAAGTAATTCTAAGATTTTTTTGCCAAAATGAAAACTATCCTTCTAGTTTTTCAGAAATCAAGAATATTGCAAACAGAAAAACAGTCCAGAAGCTTGAACTGGCCTAGTTTTCACTTAGCGTTGCCCAAATTCTTCTATCTGTTATGTCACTTACACACTCTAAACAACACCAGTACATGCTGAATTAATAGTGCAGTATCAATTCTGCCATGCTGAATTGGAAGCATGTTTCTAAGCTATGCTGTGTGATGACCTTATGTTCCACAAGACAATCTGAAAATAACAAAGCTGTTAAGTAACCCAAACGCAGGCAGTGTTTCTGTCAGATTAATATCTCATAGAAACCAAAATGGAGCAAAGTAGGCAGATTTAAGTCTTCTGTGAATAAAGGATTTATTAGCATACTGAAAATCTTTGCCAAAGCCAGTTAAATATCATAAAAGGAGTTTAAAGACCCCCTGTAGAGATATATATTTGTATTTTATTTTGTTAGTCTGTTCAGTGCAGATCTTTCAATGAAAAAGCAGTTAAAGTTTAATTCTTTAAAATTTTCAGTGCAATAAACAATATTGATTATGCACTAAAACCTTCAGATTTCACTACCTCTGTAATAATCATAAGGGAAATAATTACTGAGAATAAGGAAAAACACTGCTCTTAACCAGACTTTCATCAAAACCTGCTAGCATAATAAATTAAGATTCCAATATTGCAAACCCTGGATTTAGGTGTGCAGTTCAACCAAATTCAATGAAGCCACCTGGACCATATGGCTTGAACACAGATGCAAGCTCAGCCTTAGCTTATTATATCTGAGTGACAATCACTCCTTGTTAAAGAAAACAAAAGGGTTCACAATGAATGAAATCTGTAGATTAAAAAAGAAGATTAAAAAAAAAAAAAGAATGGATAGGTTCTTCGGCAGATTTTAAAAAAACCCACAAAGGCAAGGCATTTGGTTTTGAGCAACTTAAGTTTACACTGGTTCAGGTATTTCAAGCTCACGATAGGTTATGTTTACAGTCTTTTAAGATGTAATCAGAGCATCTTTAATTGCTGAGTGCAAGTATTTTTCAGCTGGGTATACTTATAAAACACTTTATCCAGACTATGCTGAACAGCCCCTGCTGCTAGGAATACGATGATTTACTAAAACTTCTACTAGCACATAAAAACCCAGGACCTATTTTGTAACAACTTCATGCAGCTTTGCAATGGAAGTGTTATACTTATTGCATGATCAGTCTAAATCAAATGTCACTACAGACAAAACACAATTAAAAAAATCCCCAAACCCTGTATGTAAAGCTAGCTGATACGAACACTTAAAACAACAACAACAAAAACATCCAGCATAGTTCAAAATCTGATTTTGACCGTATTACAACAACTTACAGTCCCAGGTGGATTTGTATCACTCAGTGAGACAGGCGAAGTTCTGCTGTTTCCTTGAACTGGCTCCCTAGCAACAACCAGATGTAAAGATCCTGTGGATTGCTGGAGGAGTGCAATAGCGTGCTGATGAGAAATGTTCTGATCCAATGGGGTGCAATTAATGGCCAGTATGTGGTCATTTTCCTTTAGTCTTTGATCCCTTAACAAAACATTAAAAGAAATCTCAAAATGCAGCATACTGACTTCCCATGCAAAGTTTACATAAAAAAAATCCACTCCTTAGACTGACTTCAACTTACAAATTACATGCAATACACACTGTACTGAACTGCCCAGCCAAAGTTTGTCCTAACTTTATCACAGTATGCAAGTTTATTCAATTTTTTCCTTCAACTATTCGAAATCCAATTAAATCTCCTCACTCTTTCTTGATGATGTTAAACTATAGGACAAAAAAAAGGTTGCAATTATACAGCAAACTAGGAACTATTCTTCATTACTTTTAGCATCATATGAGACTATATCTAAGTGTTCCCAGCTCAGGCTACGACACTGTTTTATAGCATCATCTGATCCGAAAAATGGTCAAGCTGTATATTTATATTTTACTCAAAAATTATATTATCAAAATTCAGACATCAAACTTTCTTCAGGCAACAGACAGTTCAATTTATATTATACCTTCAGATAACATAAATCTCACAGTTAATTTATCTGAGTGATGAATTTAGATTTGTGACAAGAGAGAAACCATCACTTATCTGCTTTGTTAAATATTCATTCTGAGCACGAGACCAAACTGTTACATAGACAGACACTGCCTTCAAAGCTCTGTAGGAATCCAAAAAAGGCTCCAGGAGATCTCATCTCAGAACCAAAACGTGAAACATGCTGGGGAGATTTCTGAAACCTCCAAAACAATATAGCTGTACATCTTAACTAACGCATTTTAAAGTTCATTTTTATCATGCCACATTTAAGATGTTTTCCTGAAATGCCTTTCTTCAGGCATTCGCCATATTTTAGACTCTCTCATCAAAGAAAGTGAGCAGCAGGTCATCAAATCCTAAAGTGAGATATTCACCCTCCTTTGACATCCAGATCAGTCCATCTGTCTCCACTTTGAAAGAGCCTAATATGCTTTTCTTGCAAGCGTTCTCTGGTGTGTTCTCTGTGGGCCCATAGCCATTATCATTCCAACCTCTCCCCACTCTTTTTGTCATCCTGTGTTGGCACTTCCTGACATGTGTTATTTAAAAAGTGACACCAATGACTTGTAATCTAGACACATTTTCTTTAAACATAATTCCAAGCACTGCATTTGTCTCATGCCAACTCTTGTGGTTTTACAATCACATTTTGTTTTTCAAGGATTGCTCTGTCTTTTGTTTTCGGGTGAGAACTCACAGATAATACAGAAAAAACTGCCCGAAGCCTCGATTCTATGATGACATCTGTGCAGGGATCTGCTGGAAGGACTGGATCTTAATTTACACAGGAAACACGCAGTAAACCCAACTATAAATAGAGCATTGTCATAGGCACATAAATAAAGAAGCAAGGGGGAAAAAATCTTCCAGTAATACAATGAATAAAAATCCAGAGACTAGTTTTTATTTTCCTCGTACTCTTTTCCAGGCTGCCTTTGTTTTTCAATCAGTACTCAAGATTCTCTTAAGTGAGTCATGTTTTCTGGAAATTCCATTTGTGAACAGCATGGATATTTGAAACTCATCTGAAAATCTGATCCTCAAAACATGACTCTGTTTAGCTGAAAAGCCAGAACTCGAGATACCACCACCAAAGTATCCCACCAGATAATCCAAACAAACATATTAGCCAATGTGCCACCAATGCAAAACTCAGGCCTTCTCTTTTCACAGAATTGCTGCAATTTTTCCATTACAATTATAAAGATCTCACCTGTCAGCTACACTTCCTGGCTGAACTTCTTTGACAAAGATACCAACTTCTCCCGAGTTGTGATTCTTAAGGGTAACAACACTAAATCCAAGACCTCCGACAGAAGGCTTTTCAATCTTTATTGTTTCTATTTGTCTCCCCTAGTAAAATAGAAAAAAATTGATTAGCTAATTTTTAATGCAATAGAATGAGCTAGTTCAAAATTTATGCACCAGGAGAATTATTCCCCTCCTAAGACTAAACAAAGGCAAAATACTAAATATGTTATTCCTATAAAAGCTCCTCCATTTATTATTTTTAATATAGCAGAGTATTGGATACGTGAGCACTCTGAGATTCTGAAACCTCAGGGAATTTAAGAGCTGCTTTCACACTTCATTCACATTATGAGATGAATTCCAAACTGGATGAAAACTATGAACAAAGTGCTGTCTATAGCAATATATTTGGGGTTTCTGGAAATGCTGCACAGTTAAACTAAATTACTTGTCTTTTGGCTCCCTTAGATTTTAATGCCGATTTTTAGGTACACGTTCAAAAGATTGCAGCTTTTAAATAAAGAAATTAATTTCCTTCCCATTCCTGCAACTTCACATGTAATGCAAACTAAAAAAAAAAACAACAACAACAAAAAAACTTCGCTTTTGCAATTGCCTGCTTCTCAGTTCAAATACATAATTTCTGGGGTTGTTTACTGAGAAGCGTTACTTAGAGAAAGCATTTCTATCACAGCTGTTTTATCCAAAATAATGTGCAGTCTTTACTGTTAAATCTTTTATCAGATGAGTTAATGACACGCTAACAAGAAGAGTTATGCTGAAAATATTACAGCTACATTAAGGTAGTCAATTAGCAACAGTTACTTAATATAGAAAGGCACGACTAACCAATTAAATTAATGGCTCAAAGTAACACAGAACAATGCACTCATGGTATAAATGCCAATTGCACATGGGTAGATGTCTGCACCTGTACAACTTCCATAAGCATCTGGTACATGCTACATCATGTAAATGAAATCAGCATCTGTCTGGCAAAGTTGAGACATATTAAATGAAGAGTTAAATAAAATATTACATGCCAGCTCTTTTAATCATTTGCACTGTTCATATATCAACAAAGCTGGTACATTTCCAATTCAAAATGTACTTGATAAAAAATCTTTCCATCAAAACAAGTTTCTGCAGAAAACATCCATTTTCAATTAAGTGTCATCAAATACAAAAAAAAAGAAGTTTTCTGGCAACTGAAACTTCATTTCTACATTGGTGTGCTTGGTAGAAAATAAAAAAAAATGGCAAAGAAAATACGTTCCATTGTTGATATTATTTTTCACAGGGGGAAAGAAAGAAAGACTCCTGGTACCTCTGTTACTGGCTTAGGTTGCATCACACTCCAGGAGATACAACAAAACAGTATGCTTGAACAAGTACTCCAAAATCATGTAAGAAAAGGTCTGACATTAAAGCTTGGTTGACTGAACCTAAGAGCCTTACCTTTGCCATCTGTTGGATGATTGTATTGAATTCATTAACTCCCAGGTTTGGAATGAAGGTAGATGCTCTGGGTTCCGGTAAACTGCTCTGTTTACACACGTTTCCAGCAGTAACTGATCTGTCAGCAAACACCAGCAGTCCTCTCTTAGTAAAATCAAAATCTACTGGCCGGTCAGGTGGCATGTAATTGAGCTGTTAAAAATGAACAGAGATGTAGTAAAACTTTTAAAAACGAACACAGATTTCAACACACGTAATTTTGAGTGAAGGCTGAAAAAGAAACACATGTTTATATGTTCATATTCTCACAAATGTACTCACCTGTATAATTTAGGTAATGTTAATGTGTAAGCTATAATCAAGCTAGCATACCAACTTTAAACTTTACAGAAAGGAATGTTCCCTGAACGATTCAGCTGTTTCTACTCCACACATTTTTGTCAGTTCTACCATTCTTCTTCACTGCTTGTGCCCATCCTCCTCATTTCTCCCTGATATTTAAAGAACCACTCAAACACTGGTGGAACTGGCAGGCAAATTCAGACAGTTTTCACACAAGAATCACAAATTTTAAGAGTCACTTAACCACTCAAATGCCTCGTCTATACAGAGAGAACCTAGGGCACAAGCTAACTACAGCTGAACATGCTACCACTGCTACAATTGGCAGTTCAATTTCCAGTCCTGGTAGAAAAGCTGAATCACTTCCAGTGCAGCAAAGTAAACCAAAAAAATCCTCTCCTGAATGAAAGTTCTCAGAGGGGACAAGCTTAAGAAAAACTTAAAGAAAACTTAATTTTTTAGATGCGCTAAGCCTGAGCATTCTGGATAAAAAAAAATCCATTATGCCACAGTTATGATGCACGATCCTAGATTTGGATTTTTGCTCACTTTTAACAGCTTGCAGACGTGCACTCAAGATTTGGAAGATGGGAGCAGATGCTCCAACAATGCAAACAAGGGAAGAAGACAAGTATGAATGGCAGAGCCACTATATGCTATCCAGGCAGCAAAACTGGCAATATATTTAGCAATGACAGCATGGTGGCATCATTCTCCTGGGACCTACCCCACCACATCTGCAGCTGGACAGGTTCAGTAACAGCAAAGACAGGGATTACTGTTGCATAGAGTATGCCAAGTTAGTCCCTGAGTTTTAAGCTTCCATGCCTGACTTGGCAAACTGCATGGTGGAGGTGTCATCAACATCCTTGTCCACAAGCACCTACTGGCACTGTAAACCAATCCATGCAAGTCACTTATACTGCCATACTTAACTGACTTTAAAGCTAGCTTGGATATGTCAGCATCAGAGCTTGGCACATCTTCAGGGTGATTTTCTACGTTTGATTTTCCAAAGCACGTTAACCATTCCTGTACAAGTCAGCAGCAATTAACTGATAGTTAATTATAGATTAGTAATCTGTATCTATTAAAAATAGATAGGAGACAAGGTGCTGCTAGTCAGCTGATAAACAGTATTTAGTTTCTGAGAAAAACAAAGAATCTCAGTTTCAACTGTGTTCAGAACTCAAAGTATTATAGCTGATGTCTTTTGCAGATGCTTTTCTCAGAATCTCACTCTTCTACATCCCTATCAAAGCATGCTGCCCCATGACTAGAGCGCTGTAAGATCACTTTTCATTTCAGTAGTGACTTGGTAGATACCAGCTTGATAAGAAAAAGGCCAGCATTCAGTAGCACCAAGTTACAGCTTATTAATGACTGTCCTCATTAATACTTGCCTACACAGACTGTTCTGTTCCAACTTCAGTATAGTTATAATCACACCAACAACTGTAATTCTACACTCACTTGATCTTTCAGTTGCTTGATGGATTGCTGGAGGGTCAATATCTGGTTAAACAAAGGGCTCCTGAGCGTGTTGCGCAGAACAGACAGGTTCTCGTTATGTTGGACATCTCTTTTCTCACGCAGTTTTGCTTGCAGACGGTCAATGATCTGCAGCACCTGCTGTTTATCTGCACCACAAAGTAGTTATATGTTAGGAATGGAGCTTCGTTTCTCACCACTTAACAGTATTCACTTTCAGACGACATACCTGCAGCAGGGTTTTCAGGCATGTTGGAGGGTATTTTTGGAATTACTCAGAATAATCTAGATGAGATAAAAACAATAACAACAAACAAATAAACGATATCTTTGAGTAGAATGCTTTTAGGTAGAATGTCAATAAATGCAGTAATAAAATATTAACTATAACAAAATTAATTAAAAAACACTACTGTTAGCTTTTCAGTTCAGCCAGTGGCAGAACAGCCCAGCACATTCAAAAATTTCTCCTTGTTCTGTGTGCTGCTTCTTTTACACTGGAAAAGGAAGATGAACAACCCCTTCAAAGATGAAGAATAATACATGTTACAAAACAAAAACAACAAAAATTGGTCAAAGAAATTGAAGTAGGTATGTTCAACCAAATTATTTGGAGTGAGAGCATTAAAACTGTCATCTTTTCAAATACACACACAGTCTAAATCTTCGTATTATTTAATAGGTACTTCCACTTGTTTTAATTATCTGTAGACAGTGTTCTCACAAAAGTTCAGCCCTGCCACGTGGCAATTCAGGCAAAATCTTGACATAAAACAATTCCTCAAGAAGTTCATATAAAACGAGGAGGTTCTCTCCACTCACAAGACAGTATAGCATTAAGGCCCCAAATTGGCTAACTCAATTGCTAGCCCAACATCTTCTTAATCACAGCTTTGGTGCCAAATAGGTGAGAGAAGACTATGTCCTCCTCCTCCTCCACGTGCTTGCCTTTCTCTTTCCTATGTCCGAGACCATCTTTGAAAGAACACAGTATCCTTTCCCACCCTCTCTGCAATGCAAAAGAGAACAGGTCTGCAACTGAGGCTGAGGCCTAGATGGCAGAATAATAACAACAGACTTCCAATTAGCACTAATGATAAATTTGTACTTTCACTTGCAAGTTATTATGTTGATGTGGAGCCTGTCATTTTGAAACCTATCAAGGTAGTTATATCAAAAACACAAGAAACAAGATTTCTTCACTTAGTACAAGCTCTTCTGAAAGAACTCAACCATTTAAACTATGCCCTGCATGTAACAGTGCAACTTCAGAATAATATACATTTGGAATTACTTGGGGGGGAAAAAAAAAAATCTATACTAAAAAGAAAGCTCTACATTTACTTTGTTAATCTTGCAATCCAAGAGCAAATATGGCTGTATGTGTATTGCTCACCCAGCAAAGCCTCTGACCCTTTCAGCTCTTCCTCTGATGCTATCCACGTTCCAGCTGAAAATGTCTGGAGTTCCAGGAGGACACTGAAATACATAAGAGAATATTAATTAAGCAGATGAAAGAGAAAGAAAGGAAAAAAAAAAAAAAAGATGGTATGTCACTAACCACAGTTTCAAATTTATGTACACTTTGCTGTATCTAAGCAATTTTGGCTTCCAAAGGAATTCCTGCAGAACTCAGTAGATTCACATGGTTTCCACCCAGGGCCAAGCAAAATGATTCCCTTTGCAAGACTATTAACAGATTTAGAAGGTCATTTTAAATCAAATTCATAGGAGGGGTTGAGGAGGCACTCAGCTCCTGAAAGACTTTCAGGAATGCATCTGAACTTCTGTAAGTTCTGCAGCTTTATTTCCTTTTCTATTTGAAATAAAACACTTCTAATAGCACAGCAGCAGCCTTTGATTCTGCACTGAGATCTGATTCTGAAGTACAGATGAAAATACCTTTTCCTGAAATTACCTATTCCTGAGTCTTCATCTAAAGTGAAAAGACAAAACTTCCCCTCTCTAGCTAAAAATACTGTGTAAATCTTAACGAAACAGGAATAGGGTTTTTTTCCCCTTTATTCTCAATATAACTTCCCATTTTCACATCAGCAGTAAAACAACAAATCAGCAACAGTGAGATACAGAAGAACTCCTATGAAGAAAAGCGACTTGAAACACCTTTATGCCAGCAGCAGAGTGAAGATTAAACCCAGAAAAGAAACGCAGTATGGCAGGAAATAATGACAACTTGACAACATTATACCCATCTGATAGCTGGAGCCAAGAAGCCAAAGCTTCTTTCGAGCATTTTGTCCTCCTTCCCGTCCCATCTGGGCTGGCACTCATTCATCCAACCCCACAGTGAACTGGAACAGGGAATTAAACACCCAACAAGCCCCCCACATTTTGGTGGGGCCAAGCCTCCTGCCCAACTAGTGCTCAAACAACAGCACATGGGATGGGGCTGGGAACAGGACCACACCTTGCAGCAGCAGCTAGCGGTTGCAGCAGCTCAGCTGCGCTGGCAAACTGTACCATGAGAAATAGCCTGCGTCATTCAAAGGCAGCCTCAAAGAGCCGCGCTGACAGTCTCCAAGATTAATCTTTTTTCCATTACAGCGGGTGTAACAATAGCAATTATGACAACGGGTGCAGATCCAAGAAAGAAAAATTAGAGCAGAAAAATGTACGTTGGATATCCAGGCTCCATCTAACATGCAGAAGTCCCCTGGAGAAGGAGGTGAAAAAAGGAAAATATAAAATAAAAAGAAATACATTAAAGAAAGCATCAGCTTCCTGCTTGAGCTGCCCCAAAGCACTGCTGAGAGCCACTGCAGAACACTCTGCTCCAGCAGATGCTGAAGTGGACCTCAGGTACAGTTAGCAGGAAAGTTCAAGTTTACACAGCACTTTGGGATCCCTCGTGATTAAAGCTGGCCTCCAGACAGCTTGCAATATGTTAAAACCACTCTCAGTGTTTCTTTGTTCTCCTCTCTTTCATAAAAAGAGTGGAAGGGGGGGGGGGAGGAGGAACGTGCTTTATTTTAAGGTAGACAGCTCCTTCTGCTGTGAGGGGATCCCTGAGAATACAAGCTAATTCCAAGTTTTCAACTAATTGAGAACAAATCCCTAAGACTGGCATTTGGGCTCCAGAGAAGCAAACAGCTCCATCCACTGTAGCCCTTTTTATGTTTGAGGACCCAAACAGATAATCATTAATCCATTTCCAAATACTGATGCTAATGTTTGAGCAGGGTGCCAACAGATCATTGACAAATTAAGAGGTCCATTCCTAGATGATAATTTTGAAGTAAACCAAAATGCCGTGGTTTGTCCTATTAAAAACAGTTTGTACACTCTGCGTTCAACTTCCCCAACTCCATTCTCAGATTTCTACAGCCACTTATTTATCTTATTGGTAGACAAAGCTGCAAACCTCAAAGTTCAAAATTCGTGTCACAACTCCCAAGGTAATTGTAAAATCATCGTGAAAATCATGAATTTCAGAAAGCGTAGTGTTTTGTAACACCAGAAAAAAACCTCACTCTTCAGCACAGCATGCATCAGGGTTTTTACTGTCTTCACTTTTGAGAGCTGAACTCAACACATCATAGGGAGCGGGAAAGTTTCATAAGGTTTTGTATGAAATCCTAAGACTTGGATCTCCTTCAAAAGCAAACTAAGAAAAAAGGAATTCCCCCATGCTGGTGCCAGCAGAGGTCATCAGAAGAGCTGAAAGGTTTAAGTCTTCCCCTGCCATCACCCCCCAGAGCTGCCACGGGGCACTCAGCCCGGCACATCCCCGGCTCAGAGCAACACAACACCTCTGGCAGTGGCCTTGACAAGCACTTGCCCTGTGAAAGCTGCTGGGAGACAAAACCAAGGGGCTTTCTGCTGCGAGCTGAAGGAGGGCATGGTATAGCCAACAGAGATGCTTCTGCCCATTTCCCTCCTCTCACCTAACAGCTACAATTGCTTCATCCCCAACAACCTGCATCCTTCCAAGAGCTGCGCTCATAGGGGAAATCCTGCCTCAGTGTCACTGTAACCTTCTGGGCCATTAAACACCTCAAGTCCTCACCACACAAGTGCTAACTGCTGCTATTTTTCAAAGGCTCCTTACAGGGCCATCTGAGCAGGGAACAGCCAAGGGTACATCCTGATCCAAAGTCACCTTTCTGCACTGGTGCAGCTGTAATTTTTTCCAGCCCTGTTACAAGGAATGACTGATGTGTGCACAGCTCATCTTCATCAGTCCTGGGAATGTCTCTAACTTGAAAAATTTCAATCTAAGCAATGGCGAAAGTAAGAGAAAACAGCATTTCTCAGTGTGAATTTAATCTTAAAACAGTCCTAATGCAGCATCACCTGTAACCTGTGGTATTAAAAATAATATAGCTTACAAGCAACTATGTACTGATTAAAAAACAACCAACAACACTGTAGCACATTTTGCTGTTCTGCTTGGTTTTCCACCTTAGAACACACAGACAAATTCAATCCAACCAAAGTTAGCATGCACACACCTCTCAGATGAAACCACCACTAACTGCTGTGCTGTGTCATGTTACAGTCTTAATAAAATCGCTACAGAGTATGCGGGCTGCTCCAGACTCTTGTAAGAAACAAAAAGTGAATGGTGCTGCAAATACATCAATGAAAACACGCCAAAGGTCTTCAGAGAAAAACAGGCCAAAGCTAAATACCGTCAAATATCCATAAATCACCTTTGTGGGGAAACTGTCCTGGTGTTAGAATCCCTCAGTGACTGCTGGATGAGGAAAGCAAAAGAATCTCGTGTACCTGTGATTAGCAGCCTGGAGAGCAGCCTTACTCATGTCCAAGGCACGCCAGCTTCCCACAGGCAGAACCTGAATTCCTGCGGGCTCCGGCCCGGAGGGGAGCACTGCCACAGAGCCTCTGATGTCTGATTGAAAGCTGAGCTCACACTGAGGCCACTCAGTGCAGCAGTGAACATGCTATGAAACTTGTTCTAGCAAAACTCGTGGAAAATTTGCTTCTGGGATCTAAACAGCAGCTAATTTGAGTGGAACAGAACACTGAGTCCTCCAGTTCTGGTGATGACAGCACACTCAGCTGATAAACCACTCTGCTGTGGAGGAAAACTGTTAAACCTGGAGCCACGCTCCATTTCCAAACCTCGAAAACTTGACAAGAACGCAATGAACAGCTTTCCCATTAACCAATCCCTAAAGAAGTAGTAATTAAAAAATGGTTTTGTTAAGAACCTCTGAATTGAAAGGCGCCGATGAATGGCATCACAAAGGTACCAAGGTTGGAAAAGACCTCTAAGGTCCCCACTCCCAGATCCCTCAGTGCCACATCCCTGCGGCTACAGGGACGGTAACCCTGGGCAGCCCGTCCCAATGCTTGGCCACTCTTTCTGGGAGAATTAACGCCTCCTAACATCCCACCGGAACCTGCTCCGCTGCAACTTAAGGACACCATTTCCCCAAGCGATGGAAGCTGTCCACACCCCGCTGAGTGACGGAGCCGGAGCCCCCAAAGGGTTTCCCCTCCACCGCCCCCCCGCTACACCACACCCGCACCGAGGGCAGCGCGGCGTCCCATCGGGCTCACAGCGGCGGGAGCCGCCCCGGGCCGGGCCCACCCCTCCGCACCGCGAGCCTCGGCAGGGCAGCGGGAGGAACGGGCCGCCCGCCGCCCCTCGGGACGCTGCTGAGGGAAGGGCCGCACCGCGGCGGTGGGCGCGGGGCCGGCGGCCGCTCGGTACCTGCAGCCGGGAGGAGGAGGAGGAGGAGAAAGAGGAGGCGGTCGGAGTGGAGCGATGGCCGCCGGCTCTCACCTGGGCGGAAGCGGGAAGCCAACGCGCCTCACCTGCGGCGCAGGAAGCCGGGGCGGCGCGGCGGGAGGGAGAGAAAGAGAGAAAGTGCCGCCTCCCGGGGGACGGCCGGGCTGCGGCCATGGGACGGGCGGGAGCGGCCCGCTGCCCTCAGCCGCCTTTAGTCGTGCCGGCCGGGAGGTCAGCGAGAGCAAAACGAAGCAGCTGTGGAGAAGCGATGTGCGTGCTTACGCGCAGTAAAGCAACGCCTAAACGCGGGCTCAGGCCATCCGAGCCACGAAATCCTGCAGGGATGACATGAGCTGTGCTCGTGCTCTGCAGCACCATCGCTGACAGAGAGGGAAAAGCCTTGGGCAGTGTGGGGACAGGACGGAGCTAAGCAGCTGTAATGCTTTTCTTCTGGATCATGGATATGTCTGCTCTCACACACAGAAAACGTCAGATGAGAGCTCACAAAAAAACTCCTTTCTATTCTGCTACCCAGTTTCCCTAGCTCACATGCAGCTCTCTTGCAGCCCTGCCAGCTGCACTGAGTAAACACTTCCAAACCTTTTGTAGTGAAGTTCTACACCTAACTAGCAACACACTTCTTAATGCTCTCCCCCTTCTCCCCCCCACCCCCCATTTGTTTTCTGTTCAATAGCAGTTGCATTAAAGCATACAACATGCTAAGAACACACCATTCCATCCTCCCTTTTAAAAAAAAACTTAGCTTCTCGATGCCTATCTTCCCAGCCCTTACTCTCAACTTTAATTAACACAGCGCTTGTGAGAAGTGACAACGTTCCTGACAGTGATGAGCAGCGAGCCATGTATTTATCCATCCTCGAGTTACAATGCAGACACAGAAGCACAGCACTTTTCCCATCGGAGCACCCCAGTCTCGATCTGGAGGGCTGAGTTCACTGCAGAGTGCACTCTGTCCATGGCCTTTCTTTCCCAATTGCTGAAGGGAATATCAATTTTCATTTGCATAGTTTATCTGCTGAACTCTGCACTGCAAATTTAGTACGCACAAATCTCCCAGAAGCTGTTAGCACTATTTCACATCAGTGAGATCTCTGTCAGACATCCATATATATTTTTAAAAGTCCGCACTTTCACCAATTCCTTGAGTGCCTGGAACTGTAACAGATCATATCCATAAATCCATTCCTAAGTCACCATTCATTCAGGAAGATAGCCATCCGTGAAAACAAAAGACTTTCAGAAGGGCTTCAGAAAACCCTCAGAAGGGAGTGGCAATGCACTGGCATGGGCTGCTCTGGGAGCGGTGGGGTCACCATCCCTAGAAATGTTCCTGATCCGTGGGGAGGTGGCACTGAGGGACATGGGCAGTGAGTGCCTGTGGTGGGGGTGGGCTGGAGATCTTCGAGGTCTTTTCCAACCTTAATGAGTCAGTGATTGTTTTCAGTCTCTGGGTCCCCATGTGTTTTTCAGGAAATGCTTCTGGAGCAGAAGGAAAACCGGGCACATTTGCCACTCAGTGTCCCTTCACCCCATGCCAACAGCCCAGGGTCCCCTGCAGCTCACAGCTGAAAACTGGAATTCTCAAAAATGCTAGAAAAATAGGAACTGGCCTTATAAACAAGTGAGAAAAGGGAAAGGTTAGGAATCACCACAAAGCGCATGCTGAGGACAAAGCTTGCCTGCTCCAGGTACTCAAAACAGAAAACAAACACTTTTAGAAGCATAGAACCAGTTTTATGTGAAAACACAGCAATCTCCAACTATTTCCTGCAGGGGACTGCCCTGGCAGCACGCAGCAGGCACAGGACACCTGCTGTGTCTCATAAGCGCTGAGAATTATTTCTTAAATTCTTCCAGAGGAGCCCAGAGCACTGAGGACAACGCACAGGATACTCACGGGCCCCAGCGCTGCAGGAGACGGGGAGGCCCGGCTGTTTGTAGTCACTACTTCGGTATTTAGGAGAGGAGGGCGGTGCTCACCTCCCTGCTCCATCCTTTCCTCCACACACCGCCCCCACGCCGCTCTCGCCCTCAGCCGCCTCCTCAGACGGCGCTCCGTGGGTCCGCCATCTTGAGTGAGGGCAGGAGGGCGCCACCACGCGCTTGAAGCGGGCGCCGCCATCTTTACTCAGGGAACGAGCCCGCTGAGGGGGCTGTGCCAGCGCCATCTTTAGTATGGGCAAGCTCCGACCTCAGCGCTGAGCTGAAGTGCCTCAGGAGCCATGTCTGCTGAGGTCAACCACTCAAAATAAATAAACAACGTAAATAAAGAAATATCAAAGCAGCATCTTCAGCAACCCGAAACCTAGCCTCAGCTCCCCCCGTTCCGTCCCGCCCGAAGGCATTGCTTCACCCCGCAGCGGACCCGCTCCTCCCCGCGGGTCAGCTGACGGCCGCCGCTCTTCCATCATGGCCGCCCGGCTGCCGGCCGGCCCGGGGCGGCGGGGAGGCGAGCTGGAGGCCCTGTTCCTGCTTCTCCTGTGGTTCGCAGCCGCGGACGCAGCGGCGAGCCCGGAGCCGCCGCCTAAGTGCGAGGAGCTGCGGCTGGGGCAATATCCTGAGCGCGGGCGGGGCGCGTTGCCATGGCGATGGGCCGGGGCTGCCCGGGGTGAGGGGCGGACGGGAGCGGGGTCAGAGCAACCCTGCAGCCCCGGAGGAAGGGGTGGGAGGGAGCCGTGTGCTGGGCCACGCTTTTATCTGGGGCTGGTGTGGTGTGTGGCCACGAGCAGGGTCGGGCTGTTTGTTTTTCAACGAAAAAATCCTATTGGATGTGGGATCCCTGTCCTCCCTACCTTCTTATTTTTATTGTCGGGACAGTCAGCCCAGTGCTTCAGTTTGAAGCTACTCTGTACTGAAATAAGGCAGGAAATGAGGTCGGGGTGCTGCCCCAGCGCAGAGGCTGTGACAGATAAATGTTGTGGTTCCCTCGGGTCGTGCTGACTGCAGTGCTAATTAACGCGCAGCTTATGCAATATAGCGGTGTATTAAATTGGATTAGCAGATTTGCAGCATGGTGATGTGCTGTTCCTGTTGGGGGGATGGGGAGGAAGGGAAGCTGACATCAAGGTAGGTCTTAAGTCCTTGGAGGTGAGGAATAAATGAGCGTTAAACCTGTTGGAGTGTTTGATATGAAAAATGTTTTCCTCAGCTGCCTGAACATATATGTGTGATGAGCCTAAAATAGACAACAGCACACAGGAACCAATGAATTGCACAAATCACACGGCGTATGGTAAGGATTTCTAACGTATATTGATGGTAATTGCATTTTCCCAGGGAAGTACTCAATTCAGACATTTGTGTACCTGCTAGCTGAGATTCTAAAACATGGGATCAGTAATGTCATTAGTATGAAAGCTTACACATTTGCATACACTGGATGCTTTACTGAAAGAATTACTCTGATCGGGGCGTTTGTGAGGTTTCTAATAAATTTCTTCAAAGTATGTTATATCCTGCAGGCTCCATTCTCCACTCCTGTGATAAGAACAAACCATCCCTGTCATACTCTGTTTTGCACATGCTTATTAGAAGAACTGACAGAACAGGCTCAAAATCTTCAAAATTTCTTTTAAGGAAAGATGGTGCCCTCCGTCATCGAGATTTTTTGGTGCCATGAGGCTCTGTTTTGAAAGCAGTTACATTTATTTTGATGTTCTTTGGCGTACAACAGAAACATGCTGAAATTGGTCCCTTAGTTTATTTCATATGTGTTCCTGATGATAAACAGCCAGTCAGTGAGCTGAATGTTCTGCAGTTTGATCAGATTGGTAGTTGTGTCTAACCGATTACCATATTACTGCATTTAATACACCATATGTTTTCTTCAGAGTGGGGAAAGTTGTAAAATTAATTAACATGTTCTTTTCTATATCTGTATAGAATTTTTACAGATACAGCAGGCTTGGTTGTCCCCATAGTATCTCAGTCACTTCCTCTTACAGTATTATCTGTGTAATAAAAAGTTAGTCATATAGCTCATCTTTGAAGCACTACTAAAGTCTATAAACATTTCTGGGTTTCATCATCCAAACCAATAGGGGTTTAATTCAAAGCATCCAAACTGTACTTAATTTTTTGGGATGCAATATGAGTAGATAATAAAAAATAATTAAAAAAAAATCTAAATCCTTGTCTTCTTGCCTTTATTGGAAAATCCAGAAAGAAATGTTGAACCTGGCTAGCAGTTCTGTTGCAACTAATCAGTAGGACTTGCAAGTACTGAAAGATGACAGAATGTGTGTAAAGGACTGGACTTTTTTTTCTTTTAAAACAACTCACTAAAACACTGAAGGGTGTCAAATATTCCGGTAATACATTGCAGACTTTTAGCAGATGTCATTTTCTGCTGTGCCTTTGGCTCTTTTATAAGTCAAGCCTCGGCTTAGAATAATGGAATAATTTGGGTTGAAAGAGACCTTGGGAAGTCGTACAGTCCCACCTCCAGCTCAGAGCACGATTGGCAATGAGTTCAGAGAAGGCTGCTCAGGACTCTGTCCACTCAGATCTTGGAAACCTCTAAGGATGGTGATTACACCATCTCTCTGGGCAGCTTGTTCCAACATTTGACTGTTCTCATGATTCTTTTTCTCTATTAGATCTCCCATTGTCTTCTAATGAAGCAAAAATGGAAATGGCAACAGAATTGGCAGCAATTAGGTTTCTGTAGTTTATTTTATGTTGTGCAAAAAGACAAGTTGGTCATAGGTCTTGCTTTAAAAAAGTTTTTTACATAACATGTCTGTGTGTGCTCTGTATCAAAGCTGTTGTACAGTGGAATTTTGTGTCTTGCCAGAAAAATTCCACAATACCCAGTCAGTAACTGCTTAATCTCAAATATTTTTTTGTCCTCAGTTCAGTGCCTGCCAGCACCAAATATTACTTGCAGAGATTACCTTGGCATAGAAAAAGTCTTTACTGGACAGGAAGTTGGATTTTACAAGCCTATTGCATGCCGTAATGTGTAAGTACACCATCATTTTTTGTAATATTTTGCCTGTTTTACATTGAAATTTTTCTAAAACGGCACAATGCCTTGACAGATAGAAGAACATAGAATACTGTACATGTGTTGCCCAGTACTTCATCTCCAAATAAACATTATAAGTAATAAAAGGATACAACATGTGTGTTTATAAGTAAATCTGTCTTTGTGTTGGACACTTTTTGTTTGCTTATTTATGCTTGTGTCTTTGCTCTACCTTAGTACTTTCTCTGGCAGAGAAGTGCTACAAATTCTAAGGCTACATTTCACATATGCTTAAAATCAGTACAAGCTGCTGAAAGGAGCTATCTGGGGACTTTTCTCCATCCCTTTCCCTGAGGTACTCCACTGTATACTCAGTCAGGGAAGTGATCTATGTTTGAGCGTGGATCAGTTCCCCAGTCTGAGTCACAGTACAGTCACTTCAAGTCCTTGTGCCAACTGGGATGAGGCTAAATAAAGGTAAGAAAGAGTGGATGAAGGAGGGCTGGAATGTGCTACATCGCTCAGCAGCCAGTTCATGCTGATTTGAAGTGTGCCTGTAGCTTCAGCTTAGGTTGTATGACTGAATACTGGGGTGCTTTGGTCTTTCTCCAGTTCCCTGAAAATTTCTTTTAGAGGAATTGCTCTCTAATTTTGAATAACCTTTGTGTTTAATCAAGTCTTGCATGTTATTTAAGAGCCTGCTTCTGAAACTTGAAAATGGTGGACCTAGTATTTTTTCTGAAACACACTGTGAGCAACAGAAAGCTCTGGACACCAATAAATGTTCCAACTGGCCAGTGCTAATGATCAGCGAACACCTGTCAGCACCATTTGTTTCTCTTTTTTTTTTTGTTATTACATTCACACAGGAATCTTATTCTTTTGTCCAGCTCTGAAATCTGTGAAAGTTACAACTCCAGTTGCAATGTTTGCTGTGTGTTCACAGGGTTAGGGTTAGAATTTAACCCTGGTGTTGCTGTAGTAGGCAGATAACTCTAATGTGGTACTGCTCAGTAATTTGCCTAACTCAGAAGAACAGCTCTGCCTCTTAGTTTCATAAATATTTTCTCTGTATATAGTCTTCTCAACAGTCAGAGCTCAGCAAATTGTAGAAAACATATTATTAAATCTAATCAAATTTAAATGCTAGCAAAATAGACTTCAGTCACGTTTTTGTCCAGAAGCAATTGTGTTTCAGTCCCATCTGCAATGTGGACTGAGAATAAGATGAACTACACTCACTTAATAAAATTGTTTTTGCTTTTTTTTTTAAAGGCAATCTATGTAGGCAGGAAATATGTTGTTCTTCTGATGGCTGTCACTTTACAGTGACTGTTGTTTGTAATAAAATAATCAATGGTCAAACTACGAAAACAACTGGCTGTGGCTTTTCCAATCCTGTGATTGTATGACAGACATGTAAGAGGACCCTGTGTGGGCTTGCTGGAAACTCTAAGAACTTCAGCTGTAAATGTTGGAAGAGTTAAATAGGCATGCCCTTGGTAAAGCTTCCAAACCAGGTAAAATTGGCAGCAAGATTAATATGGCCATCCTTCATAGGTATGTTTGTTTAAAAAGTCTAATTATTTCTCATTATACCAACCTTTTATAAAGTATTTTTACCTAAGTCTTAGAAACGTTATTTTAAGCAGAATTCTCCAGCTTGATATTACAACAACACACTTTCACTTTCTGCTGCTTTTTTGAGATTTTCCAACATCTTATCTGAGATGTGATGAAAACTGGCTGTCTTCTGGCACAAATAACCGCACATCATTTAACCAGAAAATTGGTTTGAGAAGGCATTTTCTTATAGCAGGATCGTCCTAGTGTGGGGGCAGCAGGTTAATTTCTGTCCCTGGCTTTTGGAAGGGGCAGATGAGCATGCTGTCCTTAGCCAAAACCCTAATTTAGCAGCAGTTCTGAGATCCTGTTCTTTTCGAGCAAGACCATGAGTCTGTTTCAAGAGGATGTGTTCAAATTCAGTTGCTCCTAGTATTTGTTCATGGAAAAGCTTGTAATTACTAATCATGTTGCTATAGCAAAGAAGTGGGAGCTGTGATTGATTTGATTTGGTTTTAATTTAATGTTTTGGAGGTAGATTTTTGCCAAATTCTAGAATTCCCCAAATTGGCACTCTATCATATATTGCAATTAATATGTTCAAGCCCTGCTTAATCAAAATATGTATTGCTCAAGTATTAGCATTTCAAGCAAGAAGCCCCTAGAACAGTAGGCTGTGCAAGTCCTGAAGCTTAGTGTGGGCAGGCCTTCCAGCAGTGCTAAGGGGTGCTGAAAGAGCACAGAAAACACCGTCACATATAGCAGCACCATGTGTAGTATCAACTGGTACGAAGAGCAGGAAGAGAAGTTTTTACAAAGAAACTGGGAGAAACATACAGAGAAAGACTGAATAAGCCAATAAGTAAGAAAAATTGGAAAAGCAACTGAAAAGGAATTGCATTCTTACCCAATTGCAGAAATTGCTTTAGATTAACGGGAAGTTTCATTTTCTTACTTGCTGCATTAGTCTTCAGCACATATTTTTATCTGAGAGAATGAATAAGAAAGGATACACAAGAGTGGATGCACCCCTGTTAACAGCATTTACATGCTTCCACTTCCTAGTAGATTTCTTCTGCCCTTAATTTTGTTGCTGAGGTGCAGATTGTTCTCCTGTTCTCCTGTTCAAAGCATCTCAATGCAGTGTTGATGCTAAGTTTGCTTCGTTACTCTTTCTGATCAGAAGCATCTAAAACTGTGTTCCCACCTTTTATGCAGGAGTTCTATGGTGTCCTTGGATGACTTCTTGATGCATCTCAGTTGATAAACATTTTCCAAGTTTACCTCAACTTTTAAGTAAAACAATTAGTGTTCTTTACAGTGGAAACAAGACAGTTCTAAAGATGGACACTTACATTACATTAGGTTGCAAAAATGCCCGGTATGTCCTATGTTGCTAATAAGCACTAAATAACAAATATTGAGGTAAGAGTCATCGTTTAATCACTTAATGTTGCCATTAAGTTTTAAAGTCGGTAAATCTAGATAATAAGCAAAAATGTAGATCTTTATTTGGCATTGAAAGTGCTTAATAAAGGTGCTTGGACCATTCTCAGCTACTGCCTTTTGTGAAACTCTTATGTTTTATTCAACTGTCAACCAAGAGTTTAATTTGAGCTTATTAAGTAATTGCTGGCACATATTAATGCACATATCAGAACAGTAAATTGTTGATTTTTTTAGAGTCCTAATTACATTTGGGTTTCTGCTCTTTTCAGAGGGTAGCTTTTCGCCAGTGCAGCAAAGGATGGTTTTAGTACCGATAGCCGTACATTTCTAGCTTGCCTATTAGCATAAAGTTCACATCAGCAGTGACTGAAAATTGCAAATGGTTCGGTGGCCACATCACTCCAGCTGTGGGCAAGAACGGTGCCAATTAGTGTAGATCTCAGGAAGGCTGTTGTATCTGTGTGTTTGGTGTGACTGGCCATGGGATGCATAGCTTGAAGGTGTCTGTCTGCCACTGACATCCTCGTACCATTCACAGTTCTTTTCATTTGTGAGAGTGCGTGCCATTTTCTGCCCTTAGTGTGCAGTACGTGGATAGCTACACGTCTTATCCTTTTTGTTGAATCCTTCCTGTGGCTTCTTGGGCCAGTGGCCATGGTTCATTTCTCCTTCAGATCTCATTGCAATTACTGTCTCTGCTGACATCTCACCTGTCTACCCCGTTCCTCTCTTTGGCTGGATGTGAGGCTAATGCCTACAGACAGTGTGCGTACACCTCTTAGCTTTCCGGTGTTGTCTCAATAGGGCTGACCTATTAGAAAATGCTCTGTAAAACTGGGAATGTATCAGCAACTGAATTATGTCTTTCTTGACAAGAAATGATGATTTAGTTCCAGAATAACGATCATAAGAATCAGTATTCTGCAAGAGTATTCTAGAATTGGGAAAGCTGAGGTTGCTTTATGGAAGATGTCTGTGAAGTTTGAAAGCTTAATATCAATTCTGTCTCTGTTAATTTAAGATAAATAACAAATCTGACTTGAATTATTTTAACCGAAGCAGCAAATGAGTCACTACTTTAATTTTCAAAAACAGGAGTGCATATATTTTGCAGTCTACATTTCTTGTTTCTTTTGGCAGTAATGGATACTCTTACAAAGTGGCAGTGGCTCTGTCCTTATTTCTTGGATGGTTGGGAGCAGATAGATTTTATCTAGGCTATCCTGCCTTAGGTAAGTTTATTTCTTATTTTTACTTTGAGGTTAAGCTTATTGTAATGGCTGAGTTGTTTGTGTGAATATATATTTTGAATAAAAAGTGCTGACTGTCATAGTTTTGGTATTTACATCTCGAATCTTCATTTTCAAATAAGATAAAATCCTGGATTATTATGCCTCTGCTTCCTATCCTGTTGGAGTCAGTGATGACAAATGGATATATAGCTGTCCAGCAGATAAAACCTTCCCAAGAAACATGATTATTGCCATTTGTTCTGCTTTACGTTGGTATTTAACTCTGCATTCTCTGTCAGCCAGTGAAACAGGAGTGGTTTTGGCTGATGTGCCAGTTACTTAAATGGTGCTTTGTTTTAACAGGTAAATAGGGGACAAACTTTATGGTAAACCTGGGGTTTGGGGATGTAGAATTTATTCTGGCAAGTGCTATTGCCAAGATAGTGCATGGTATTAATAACAGTTCTGCAGAAGCTGGGACCTTTAATAGGAACTACCTCTTCTTACAGCTTTTAGGACCTGATTCCCAGGGAGATGGTGCCAGTGGCTTTTAAATAATGTGGAGACCTTAGTATGTTAGAACTACTTCTGTTATCTTGGATTTTCTCTGTTTCTGAGCCAGGCAAATGGAGTAAATTTAAGTCTAGATAGCATGGAGCAATGAATTGAAAAGGCTGAACATGTTACTGTCCTTTCAGCTGGGAGTTTTGAGTTTCTGCCCATCAAATAGAAATCCTTGTTTTGTTTTTTTTTTTTCTTCTGGTTAATCTCGTGTTCACATCTGTGTCTTTTTTCCTTGAGATTCCATAATTAGCTCTGATTTTGTCCATCTGTTTCATAAAAAGATATTCTGGGAGTTGTTCAGGTGCACATTTTTGTTATATCATTGGATTTGGAATAATAATCTGCAGTATTTATTTTGCAATATATTGCAGTGCAGTAGATGGAAATACTCTGTTCCTATATAGGAGTTCTGTATGGCTCCTGCTTATTAATCCCACAGGAATATACTGTAGCCAGTACTCAAAGTTAAAAGACTTAAAATTAAACTCCTCTATAGACAAAAATTTGTCTTTTAAAAGCCAAACAAGAAAAAAATCAAGAGTAGAAACGAAAAATAAAATCAATAAATTGGACTCCTTCATGGTGGCAAATTATTTTTTAGGGCATCCATACCTTGGTGAAAATGATAAAGAAAGGGATTAGCGTTTAAATATTTTGTGCAAACATCATGAGGAGTGTAAACTTGCCTTTTTCCCCCTCCACTTATCTTAAAGAGAGCACAAATACAAACAAGCTACTGGATATGAAGAAACTAGGAAGGCAACTCTTCCTCTCCCACACACTATGAACTAAACCTAAGACTGCTGTTTTTACCCCTGTGCTTTGGAGCAGGTTATTTTCTCAGTGTGACCTGCTTGTGGGCAGGAAAAAAAAATCGACTTTACCCTGCACTCCAGAAACATGTGCCACATTCAGAAATAGTACTTCTGCATCCAGTAACGTAACACTGGGTGGCTCATCAGGATGCAGACAGTTCCTTGAGTGAACTGGAGCCACTGCTGGAACCGGCGTGGTGAGGGAGCTGCTGGGCTCCTAAAAGGTGAGCTGGCGGCGAGCTCTGGGACTGCAGCTGGAGAAAAATGGCAGAATGAGTGTTTCAAAGAAATATTTTCAGTGGTGACCGCACTTAAGGTAGTAATGGAGTATATGTGGTCACCAAGGATTTGATAGTATTTAGTCATGTTAACCGCTCTTTCCTAAGGCTAGTTGTTTTTTTTTTTTTGGTGGCTCTGTCCCTTCTGTTTTGTTATGTAATGTTTGCACTGATACCAGGCAAACCATATCTGACCACAGCAAATCTCACCCGTCAGTTTCTGGGGATGAGTTGTTCTAGACTGAGTTTTTGCACGTTTAAGTGGCACAACTTCAGCTGTAATATGCGTATGGGCTTTTCTTTTAATCAGCTGAAAGACCGTCTTGCTATTCATCCTCTTGGTCATTAGATGTATTTTCTCTGTTCTCTCTGGCTACGCTGTCATTCCATGGAATGATGATAAACCGTCTCACTAGAGTTTATAAATCAGCTCTTTTCATCTTGTCAGCGATGGTTGCTGTCTCCAGACCGAGAGATGCTCTTCCCACAGTGTGCAAGCCGCTACTCCCCCACCCTTCTCCATGTGTAGCCACAGAAACAGGGCACGGGGGAGAGGAGGTGGTGTGCTGGGCAGATTGCTGCTTCCAAGGGAGAGGGGAGCTCGGAGGAGGAGGCAGAGGTCAGGAGACCTTCAGGCGTCAGACTGAGAGCTGGCTGGGGAAAACTGGTGTGTTTTCTCACTGTCAGGCATTAGCAGCACAGCACGACTTGTTGCTGGGCAAGAAGTGCCACAAGATACTACCCTGGGTGCTGTTATCAGCATGCTTGTTCCTTGTCTCAGAAGCATACTGGTCCCTGGATGTACAGTGAGGACATGCTTTTAGTGTTTTCTCTGAGCAGTATGGCCCATAACTAACATAAGTGCAGCAGAGATGTATTCTTCTTCATACTGCCTGTTCCTGGCTAAAGAAACAAATGTCTTCTTATTCTCAGAATAATTTAGACGTTTGCTTAGCGCAGCAACTATCAACTTGTAATATCTATAGCACTCTTCGTATTATATTGATTGTACAAGAAACTACTGATATTAAAAAAAAGTAAAGAAAATTAAGTCAATCGTGCTCCGAACACATTTTCCAAAAGTTGTCTGCCTTTCAATCATTTATTTGCTAGTTGCTATTCCCATATATTTTCTATGAATCTTTCATTTATTTGTATAAAAACCCCCACCCTTTTTGGAATACTGATTAAAAAGAAGTGTTTCTATATGTGTACATGTATATATATTCAAAATAAATGCATATTTCAGCAAAACTACAGAAGTGATACTAAAACGATTTTATGAAGTAGCATGTTCTGTAAGTCAAATCATTACATGCTCCAACTCACAATAGAAAGTCTCCCTCTGTTCAATTCATAAGTAGATTTTGTAGCCCAAGTTGGGATTTTCTTCTCTCTGTTTGCAAATAAATGAAATTTTCCAGTATCTTGATTATCAACTTTTGACTTGTTTAAGAATATATAGCAGTTTAAAAGAACGTTACTTTAATCTTTCAAGTGCATGCAGGATGCATGTTCAGATGGTATTTCCCCTGATAATTAAAGATATTTGACTTCAGTTCTGTTTCTAAATATATATATAATATATATATAGTGGAAAGTTGGGGTGTGATGCAACCAGCAGCATACAGACTTCCTAAACTCTGGCTTCAAGCGATGTTAAATTTTATTTTCTTTTTTTAGGTTTGTTAAAGTTCTGCACTGTAGGATTTTGTGGAATTGGTAGCTTAATTGATTTCATACTTATTTCAATGCAGGTAAGTCAGTGCTTTCAAAACAAGATACAAATCTCAATTTTTGATTACTAATTCCTTGTTAGCATTTTAACCTTAAAAACTGTTGTGTATTGAAAAATCAAGGCATTTCTTGTGGCTCTGTTTACAGCTTGATATTGCAGAACACAGGTGCAAAAGATATTTATTGTTTGTATTAAAATGAGAAAATGAAATGTCTTTAAATACTCATAAAGAATAGCTCGGATTCTGTAGCACCATAAAATCAGTGTGTCAGAATCTCTGAGCTCTTTTTGTGACACCTGGAGGTGTCCTGGTGTTCCCAGAGTCCTGAAGCTCTGCATTTACATTGCTTTGTTACCTGGGATGTTTAGGCAGCATGCACTTGAGAAGACATTGCCCATTTCTTCCTGCCTCTTCAAACTTAAGACCCACATCACCAGAGAGCTGTTGCTGTAGGATTCCTGATGGTTAAATCCCCAGCTGGGGTGACATCTTGTGACATCATAAAATTGCCAAATTGTCTTATTTTACAGTGCATACAGTGCATCCATTGAGCACAAATTATGCATTGCCTATTGTGAACTCAAAATACACTGAGGATATAGAAATTATTTTTATGGGTGAATAGAAAAATGTTTAACTTTTAAAGTATGTGTATCCTCAATTTCCTTTCTTTACTATCAGTGTGTTTTGCCTCATGGCTTACAGACACACTGAGAGTATCTTTCATCTCTCCTTATTCATCTCCCTGGTGACTCTCCATCAGTTTAGCATTTCCAGAACAAAAACACCGTGATCTTCTCTCCGTCTCTCTGTTGCTTACCTGTGCAGTATTTCAAATGCTCTTGTCATCAGCCTAATTCTCTCCTACCTGCCTGCCTTTGTTCAAGAAAAGTGGTTTGGGACCCACTCATTTGTAAGCCTGATTTTGTGACTCGAATCCTCATCAGCTTAACCTAGCAGCAGTGCCCAGCTATGTAATTTGGTTGATTAGAAGCCCCAGGGAAATGTTCCTCCTGAGACAGCGCTCACTAAAATAGTTAAACTACGGCATAACTTCAAAATAAATCTAGTTTCTGTTTGGGTAATTAAGCATGACTAATTTTATGATGGGAAAATTAGCAATAATTGAGACATTAGCACAAAGCGTATATTTCACTTTATATTGAAAAGTCTTGGTTTTTTTTCTCTTGTAGATTGTTGGACCTTCTGATGGCTCTAGTTACATTATAGATTATTATGGAGCAAGGCTCACACGGCTCACTATTACCAACACAACGTTCAGGAAAATGCAGACCTACCCTTAACCCTGGCAGTAAGTGTCACATGCAGAAGTGTGCTTTAGTTTTACAGATGGATCTAGTTGTCCACTGGAATTACTGATGACTTATTAATTACACTTCATCAGAACTGATTAGACACACGTTGAACAAAGATGATAAAATATGAAAATTCATCAAGTGAATGAGTTTACCACGAAGGAGCCAGGTTTCTTTGACTGCTCTGTTTCTGTGAGCACATACTTTGTGGTGAGGTTGTACAGTTATGAAATAAGCAGACTTTTGTAATTTGCACCAATGTTATTCTGTACCTCAGTATAATTTACTGGGTTGAAGGGAGGGAAGGAGGTAGTTCTGCAGAACTGCGTTGGTCTTCTGAAAGACCAACTGAAACCAATGTGAGTTTTAGCATGGATGGGCCAGAAAGGCACTTGGGTCTGTCTTCAGAACTGTGTGCATCACAGTTTGGAAACGAACCAAAACCACAGAAATGGCCTTTCTTTCTATCCTGTTAGGTAAAGTCCAGGTGGCCCTGAAACTTGCTGCCATAGCATGTGAAATCCTTTTAATTGAAACAATTCTGTAAAGTTTGAAGACAAATCTGGGGCAAGCTGTACAATCTGATCAATGCTAATCAGCAGTAGAAACGTGTCTACTTAAAAAATAGTACTATGGCTGACAAAACAGAAAGGTGACCATTGGGGTGCACCAAGGTTAGAATACCGTATAGGTGTTATGGTTATTCTGATTTTTTTTTAAACTTATTTTTCCCCCCTCCCTTGCAACTACCTATAGTAAAATACATACTTCCTTTTTTTTCCTGAAAAGAAACTTATGCATCTGTTTTACAGATACAGAATGTCCAGAAAGTGAATTCTTTGTTTGAATAAAGCCCTTAGAAGGCTCTTCTTTTTAATCAGTTGTGTTTCTATGAAATAAATCCCGTGTCCTTCAAAGCATTTTGACCAAATTCTTTAGGATAGCCAAGATTTACGTGAATGTTTCTTCAAAGAAAAGTATATACACAGAGACAGAAAACGTGTCAAAAGAATCTTGATGCTATTTGACCAATTTTAAACATTCCCTTCACCTTCTTATGAAAACCAGCAGTAACTGAATGACACATCCACGCTATATAAACTTCAGTGTAGATTTCCTTCAATAATTTGGGCTGTCCTTTTGCTTTTCAGATGATACTTTCAAAAAGTTATTAGTGTCTGTAACCAGTATTTTACAAAAATTAGATGCCTGAATTGATTTTTAAATGCACAATTGTTAGTCTCTTTTAAACCTACAGTAAGACTTGGTGCACAGGAAGCTTTGTAAAATAAAAATCCTGTTTTGCTTTCCAAATCAGGGAAACCTGACGTATGATGTAATGAGAATCAACCACACACGACACTTTGTACTTAACATTAATTCTTTCCTATGAAAAGACATAATTTTGGAATACTTGCTAACGCACTCTACTTATGGGTTCAAAGAGAGAAGAATACTCCATTAATTTTGTTCACCTGCCTGGTATTTGTCGCATCTCTCTTTTGTCTTTCACCGAATTCTCTTTATGCATGTCAGCTTTGGTTTCTGAAATGAACACTTTCAAAACCAGACAGGAAGTGGATGGAAAATAAATGCTTGAATCAAATAAAATCCCATGGCTCGTATCATCCTGTGACTTGTCTGCTTTTTGTTTTCTAACGCTGCAGCTGATAGTATAGCTCCGAAAATAGCACAATATTATGTGCAATTCAATTTGAAAAAAAAAAAAAAAAAGATCTCAGGGAACTCGTCTCACAAGATTTCATTTTAAAATGGATCTCCATATGTACGAGTAGCAGAGGGCTTGACTTAGTGACTGCAGCAGTCCATCTTGTGCTTCATTATCTTTAAAAGAATGCCGGGACCATTTTGTGTGAATCAGATGAAAATATGATTAGTTAAGAGGTCTGTCAGATAGATTGTTACTCCCAGAAATAAAGTGGTCAGCAGAGAGAAAGATCGGTTATTCTAAGTTAACTTACAGCGTTTCTGTAGAAACAGAAGATTTATCCAGAACCAACCCAGAGAATAAAAAAAGCCACTGTAGGATTCTTTCATCCCAATCTTCCATTTGTGATGTCTCACAATACCTCCCGAGTTCTCAGGACTGCACTGTTTTGTCATAGCAGCAAGAAAGAAGGATGACCGGATAGAACAGCATTTTGAGCATTAGCACAAGGTTTTTCTCTTCTCTTTAGATGGCATTCCACCTCATGCTCTTCCCAAACTAACAACTTTCCACTTCTTCCATAACCCTCTCCATTTTCTGCAACGTCTTGTAAAAATTAATGTCACAGATGACATAACCTTTGCAGCTTGTATAGGACATGACTGAAATTATGTTATGTATCTGAACACAGTTGCTTAGTTGCACAGCTAAAGTTTAGAGAGGGTTAACTGAGTAAGTAGATAAGTACTGCAGGGCCAGTACAGAGTTAGTGAGGTCTTTGTTTTCATCTTGTAATTGTCAGATACGGCACGTTTACCATAAGGACTGTGAAAAGTGTGATGCAAGATGTAAAGCTGTCCCACTGTGTTAATAATAAATTGGCTACGGTAATATTTACCAAAACGTCTGTCCTATGATGATTTTCTGTGTTGCTGTCTGCTTTAGCATTCACCTGTCAATCAACTTGTCCATCTTAGCGTTTCTGTAGTTCTGATGGCTCCTACTGCACTGGAATTATCTTCTCTCTTGGTTGTAGCTTTTTCTCAAAAATAGTTGAAAAGCAATAAAAGCAATTAAACAATATACTGTGTCATCTTCCTGCCTTGTTTCCAGAAAAATGATATGTTTGCCTTGCAGATGCTCAGGAGATCTTTCAAGAACCCAAAAAGACAGAAGTATTATTCTGTATCTTAGGCATAAAAAAAAAAAAAAGAGTTTAAAAAAAGAATTTGAAGTGCCTCACATTTGAAAGCCTATACAAAGTGAAGATGCTGCAAGCCAGGAACTAAATAATTGAATCAAGATCTTTCCAGAGTAACAGGGCAGTTCAGTCATTGCAAAAAGGACTTTTTTTTCCTCCCTAATCTACATTTTCTGCAATATGCTTAACCATGATGTGGAAGGGCATAGGAACATTTGGCTTTGGACACACTGCCTTCACTCACACAGTACAAGTGGCTGCACTTAAGTGTGCTCACAAAATTCTTCAATTGCTGTGGATTGTGTTTGTTCTATGACACCAACCTGCATATCTTTCACCTGGGTAGAGAGCACATTTTCAAGAGGCTATTTGAGAAGTTCTCTGACTAGTTATCCCTCCAGCCATTTAAATCAAGACCATGCTACAACAACTTCTTGTGACAGCATGTTGTTATCTTAACTGTTTCCCTCTCTACCACCACCCACCGCTTACTACATGAAGATATCACTTCTGCCTTCAGGACGTGATAGCACCTTAAATGTTAGGGTTTATTATGTTTCCAAAGATGGATTACCAGTGTGTCTGCCAGTAAAACTTCTCAGCTCCACAGGAAAGTCTTTGTGTTTGAAATGCTCCGTTAGAATTTTTTTGGAGAACATCTGTTGTCACCCCATCAAGAATTGTTTCCTTTGTTCCTCTGGAGTATATTCAGTTATATTTGCTTACACAGCGATGTCTATTCAGTCTCCTCGCATCCCTTCTCAGAGTTGTGTTTTTTTTTTATTATTTTTAGATTCATTAGGTGTTTAGTCCATTTCTGCATTGAGAGCCATCCCTGCTGCTTGCTGTGCAGTTTCCTCTAGAAAATGATGATGAATGCAGTAACGTTGGGTTGGGGGCTTAAGTGCCCCATTGGGGAAAGGGCATGGTTTCACTAGCAGCCATACACTTCCATTGCCTACAGGACCGTCACCAATTGTGTGATTGCCTTTTACTTCACTGATACATGAGATAAAGTCTTTCAAACTGAGGGTAGTCTCATCTCTAACTGCTTTGTCATTTTCGTCATTATAGAAGGTCACTATGTAGCTTCTTTAAAAGAATGCATTTTAATTCATTTAAATAATGTTTTTTAACCAGCTACTACTTTCCAGGTTCAAACTTTTTCAACCTCAACCAAGAGGTGAAATATGAGAGATTGGTTAGTTTGCTTCTTCTGCACTTACTGCCTGAATCTGGGGAGAAAAGTCTTACTCAGGTATTTTGCTGGGCTGAACTTTGATCAAGACTCCTCCAGCCTGCTTCCTCTCAATTCATCTGTGTTATTCAGAGAGCCTTTCTAATCTCTGTGAAGTATACAAGAAAATTTCTTAAGCACTGAGGGTGTAAATGGCTGATAATTGATACAGGACTACAAAATCCTACGTGTGGCAACTTAATTTTCTCACCTCAAAGCTGCTTTTCTTTGTCCACACATCAGCTGTTGGTTGATCTGTTGGCTGGTCTGGGACATCCTTCCACAAGTTCTCAAGAAGCTCCACGAGGAGTTGGACTCTTCAGAGCTGAATCAAAACCATAGAAATAGCACGGCATCAGGTTAGGGAATCTTTTATCTGTATGAAGCAAAGACACACTGGGGAGGAATCAATGTCTCAACAAGGGTGTTGTAGGCTTACTTTTGGCAGAAAGTATGTCTGAAATTTAAAATCGTGTTGTCTCTTTGCCTTCTGCTTCCTGAAGGTGGAGCCAAACCCCCTATCAGATCTCCAAATCTCCTGAAGATTTTCTTTACCGTACAGCAAAGACAGCACTCCTGTGTTTTTCCTTGTTCAACAGAGAAAACTGGAAGGAGGATGTGAGGATTGCAGCTGGCCAAGAAGCGTTTTGGTCTCTCTAGACCTAAGGCTGTAGCAAAGGAAAAGAGAGGAAATATAAAAATACAGGGGCATTCTCAGTGCTGTTTGTAGCGTGGTGATGAAGATGTAGTTCCAGAAACTTCCAAGAAAACAAACTGTTTTAGAAATACAACTTTCCTCAAATATGTGCACCTTGCTTTTCCCAGGATTTCTGATTCTTTGTGGTTCATTATATCTCAACCATACTCATACTCTGATAATTCTCCATTATACATGTGAATGGCTGCTTTCAAGACTGCAGTGCTCTCTGAGAAGCGCACTTCTTGGGCTCTGCAGATGCGTATGACACAGCAGAATTCTAGGCCATATAAAAATTATCAAGATCAGTTTCCATTACTGTAATTACTATATAAATCCTATCTTTAAGAGGCTTAGAACAGGCCTCTTTAACCTTGATTTGAGCTGAGACCCAGACCGAGTTTGATAAGTTGAACACTGAATTCTTCCCCCCCCCACCTTTTTTTTTTTTTTTATCCTTTCTCTGCAGCATCATAACTTAGTCGAGAGTGGAAGGGGGAGGGAGAAGGGTTCCAATGCATCCTCCTGCACTCTGTCTCAGACAGGGTGCTTGTAGTTGTGCAGTATACCTGTCCCCAGCCAATAGCATGGCTGAATGAAATGTTACCTCCGAAAAGTACCTTGGAACCCATGGCTGCTTTTCTTACACAGCTGTACTGCAGAGCAGGAGTGCAAGATGTCTTGGAGGCAGATGATCCACAGAGTGCAGTCAGAAGCTCTTGGGTAAAGCGTGTGATCTTATCCTCTTTGGAGGTCTCTTGCTTTATGCCATTTGCACCAGCTCAGCTAAAACTGAGGTTCTGGCCGCCCTTGCTTCCCTTTTGTGTGGCCAAGATGCCCCAGGGTGGTGGAAAAGCTGTTCTGCCTCCAGCTGCCATTCAGGCCAAATTATTCAGAGCTAGGAAGTCAGCAGATAACATCTGCAGGGGCTGCGGTTACCCTGCCCTATCACTTAGGCATGCCAGGCCGTTAGGTGAGGCCAGAGAGCAGCTTTGATATGGCCATAACTCGCTCAGCATAAAGCCTAGCACAAGGTTCCTCATTGTGAACCTGTTCTGTGGTGGGTGTTTTGCCCCCAGTCAGGAGGGTAGTAGGAATTAAATTATTAATGTATTCTGTTTCCTTTACGCAGAATTTTCTTCAAAGTTCCTTGGATTTACTGTGGGGAAAAACATAGCAGGAACATGTAAGAGGAGATCACTGACTGCAAAGAACAGAGCGTTCACCTTGAGCCCGAAGAGACTGCCCGACATATGGATTGTGTTGGCAGAGGCAGGAGCCCAGGGAATGCAGAGGTGGGGGGTAATTTTTAGGGCTTTCGTTCCATGGTCCCATTGATTATAACCCTATTAAGAGGATGATGCATGCGACTTTTAAGTTATTTTGTTAACTAAGTGTAAGCAATGGATGTGTCATGCTAACAAACATAATTGCTGGTGTGTCTAATACAGTATGAAAGTACAGTATAGTGAATTTAAAAGGTTGTGGTAATCTAAGAATGTTAAAAGGGAAATGTGTGCCTGGGGGGCGTGGGGGCTGGGGAGAAAAACGACTTACTTGACATTCACTGTCTTCCTCCCAGCTCCTTCACTAAAGTAGGAACAGAATCGGAACAAAAAAATGTTTGTTTTACAGCTGTACCAAGTTACGGCGTGGACTCGTGCTCCCCCCTCCTCTCCCACTTGCATCAAGTACATCCTGTACTTTTGGCAACATGTTGACTGGATATTTAAAAGCTGTGAACTGTTCTGAAAGTTTCACATACTGGGTTATGGGCCATGTGTGTTTGATCAAAATTCAATTACTGCACTGTACCATGCTTGGAAACCTATCATCCCAAGTTATGAAGTATGACGAAATAGGCTAATCTAATTGGTTCAGTATGGGAGCAGTATCAACCAAGCTTGTTATGATAAATAGCTTCCTGTGTTAAAGGTTCTCTAGAGCTTAAGTATCTTGGCTCACCTCCCTCTACAAAATAAGAATAGTGTTCCCTGGGAACAGTTACATCACTGTCCCTCCTCTACATTCACAATTAAAGGTTTGTGGATATATTTTTTTTTCATCTTGCTGTTCCTTGAATAGATAAACTGCAGCCATCTATCCCATTCCCCACTTCCATCTCATTCTCCTTCCCTCAGGTTAGGTCACTCTGTGCTTGCTGTGAGTCTACATGTTCTGTTGCAGGGGTGGCAAGCTTGGCCAGGATGCCACATCCCTCCTTGGGGCTGGGGATCTTATGCTGGGGTGTCAATATATGTGACGTGCACATTCATATGAAGGCTTGGAATTTTGGTGTCAAGTTAAAGGTGGAGGCACTTCAGTCTTTCTAAGCATCTAATAAAAGAACTTTGTTTAGCAAAGTTCATGCCTGTGGATGTACTGTTATTTTCTTAAAACTGGAATTTCAGTTCATCAGTAACTAACACAAATCCGGTCTGCAAGTGCTGGATTATGGCTAGGAAAAGACTATGTTCTAAGCCTGGATTTGTAGGCACTAAATTTGTCACTAAGACAATGAACTGTCTCCCACGAGATGATAGCAGCTTCATGATTTTATCTGGCCCATCCTTGGCCAGCAGTACTTAGCTGGGATTTCGATGTCACAGGAACAGACAGTGCCGAGGGAAAAAACATGGAAAAGTGGCTCCTAATGCTCTGGCTGTCCAATTTTTTCCTTCCTGAGCCACACCCCTGCATGTGTCTTCTAATTCAGAAATCCCCCTCAGGCAAAATAATTGTGCAATGACCATTTTACAAAGGCACAATATGGGCCCGCTCTTGCAAGTGCCTCTAACTTCGTGGAAATTTCTCCCAAGAATAAAGTTATTCACATACTTAAGAGCTGATAGAATGAATCCTTATGTAAGTGAGTCTTCGTATTAGCCCCAAGACTGCCTAATACCTGGATTAAGCCTGTACGGTGATTAATGCCTGTTTACTATATCTGTTATCCCGCTGCATTTTGCTCTTCAGCCTTGATTAAGCCCTTTGCTTTACCATTTAAAACGTCCTGCTTAACCTTCTGCTTACAAACGCACATAGTGCTGAGCTCTGCATTTTTAACTAGCACAAGTTCTACCATAAATAATAGCATTTAATTTTAAAGTGCAGCAGCCACAGTCACCACTTGATCAAATGACAAAGAACAGCAACAGCAAACCAGAGAGCGCGGAATTTTTCACAACAAATATCTGCATTCACGTAAGAGAAAAAAAATGCACCTTCCTGCTTCTGATTAGCACTTTCTGTGCAGTCCTTTATCGCATATGTTTATTAAAAAAATATTATCAAGAATCTAAACACTGACTCTCTGTGATTTCCCCAAACATCTTTTGAAGGAGATAAACTAGATTAATCTCTCTTTACAAAGTTCCCACAAGCAAGCTCACAGACACAGTAGCTTTACCTTCAAAAATAGAATGTGACTGTAGGCACTTATGCTAATCTCTTTTTTGGCAAATCAGCTTTTTTGTATTGAATCTTGCTTGATTGAATAGTACTGGAGCTGCCAGAGTAAATGCTATTATCAATGTACAGTAATTAAGGAAATAGTCCTTGTCACTCCAACAGTGTCCAGGCAGTGCCTTCTGTAATAAATGATAAAGAAATCTCCTCAAGGTGTAGATAGAGGAGCAAGGGTGCTCTTGACGTGCATCAAAGCCATATGATGTTGAGTTGCAGGTAATGGGGAACCCATAAATGCCCATGGAGCTCATGTTAAATGCATGTTTGGCACTAAGCATCTAAGTAGCTTCTCGGCACTAAAACACGTAATTGTTTAATTTGTCGTGTAATTTCCTGACTCAGGGCAGTCGAGCATCTCTCAGTCCCCACCCTTAAAATATGTGCGAGAGGGAGCGGGGGGAGACCCTTCCATCAGTCAGAACTTCAAAGATCCTCTCCCCCTTCGGGCAGCAGCCTGCACAAATGATAAACCTTGCTGTAAGATCAGCAGAGCTGGGCTCTGCCAAATCCATTTGGGGAGAGAATCACAGTGAAAAGAACTTGTCATTCCTTCCCCCACCCTTCCGTTTCACTTGAAACTTTGCAGCCCAGAAGTGCTTTGGTGGATCGCAGCTCCAGCAGCACCGAGGGGAGAGATTCCCCAAGGAGAGAGGAAAAAAAAAAACCTCTCGACATCTTCTGTGTTATCACATGTACCAAGACATGCAAAACACAGCAAAGTAGGGCAAATCTGAAGCAGGTATCTGATCTGCAGTGCTGGAGCTCTGAGCTGTAGCCCCACATTGAGATCAATGCAGTAAATGCTGTGGCCTGAGACATGCTGAGCACTGCAGTTGGTAGCAAAGATCTCTGTCTGCCGAAGGTACATGCAGAAGATATGTTGCTTAATGGGCAATAAATAACAAGGGGAGGTATTTAATCAAGTGTGCTGGGAAATACTGCTCTCACAAAACGATGTGCACGTCTGAGATACAGCGAATGCTCCCAGGGTCGGATAGGAAGGGCAAAGGACTGTGAAGTGGGGCTGCTGAGCTCCATCCCCGTACGTGCGGGACTCACGCAGAAGTGTTCTGGCTGCAGTGCTCCTTTTCTCTGCAGCCTATGTCTTATCTAAACTCTGTATAAGAATTTTCATATTTCATAAATCTGTCAGTTTTGCTTGGGAGTCGGCTAGGGGGATTTTAGCATTCCCCACAACGCTCCATTTTAATGCGGTGACATTCTGAAGGCTGGGCGTCGTAACCTCTCCATTACATCTTTGACACAATGAAGTGTCTCCTAAATAAAATAATTCAGAGGGATCGATCCGGTGAACTTCAGGGTGCATCTTCCCAATTATTTTTTTTTAAAGATGGAAGCGTTTTATGCATATTGAGCATGGGCTTCGTGGGAACGGCAGGGAATGCTGAAAACGGACTCGTGATTTCAGCACGACTGTGAACTTAGCGCCGCTGTTTCCAGGCCTCTTCTCTGTTGTATGTAAAACATTAGTGTTCTACGTATTGTTCCAAAGGATTTGTTTTATAAATGCCCCCAGCTCGACCTTCAGAACTGTCTGTTTGAATCTGAGCAGAAGTGCGCTGGTCAGAATTCAAAAAATTATAGCACAGGCAGCGGGTTTTTTAATTGAGGCATGCCAAATACCAAAGGCAGATGCTTTTTCATTCTGTAGCTCCTGGATACGCATTCTACTTTTCGGTTTCAAGGACAAAGGAAACACTTATCCAATTAGATGAGGCATGAGATTGTGACATACGGGCTCTTTCCTTAAATAAAAAAATGTTGGAAAAAGATATTTGACCCTAAGTCAATAAGTGCTATTAAAATAATGAATACTCCATAAATCCAACCGTACATGCAGCTCGTATTAAGCGCTGTTCTGTTTTTGTTGCTAAGAGGACTGTGAGACTGCCTGGGATAAAGCCCCACACAAGTTTCTTGTCCAAATCACATTTTAAAGGCCTTACTTTTAAAATATGATATACAGAAGTGTAAGCCAATTAAATTGCCAGGCAGACTTCTATCTTCTCACGTTTGACATCTCTATCAAGGCAGTTAGATGATACCAAACGTGGTGCGGTTGTCAGAGCTGCTGAATTTCCCCTGCACACTCAGAATGATTCTCTTGCTCCTCTTAAAACGTTTGAACGTTTTTTTACTAGTTTTTTTACGAGCAGTGTGGTTTGCCCAAGGTAGCACAGGTTTGGGTGGCATCAAGAAGGAATGGTCAATGGTTTGGATGGATCCCACATGAAGCGTGCAAGGAGCGTCCCATGCCTTCGCGGTAAGGGAGACGCATTGAGGTCTGTGCCATTCACCCCCTTTTCACCAAGATGGTCAACAGCTCCAAAATAATTACCTCTCCCCTGAGCTTGTGCCATCCCTGGAGGTGCCCAAGGCCACGGATAGGGTCCTGAGCAGCCTGAGCTGGTGCCTGGCAGTCCTGCCCACAGCAGGGGTTGGAACATGGTGGGCTTTAACACCCCTTCCAACCCAACCATGCTGTGATTCTCTGATTCTGGTTTGAGCTTCAGTGTTTGTTATACTCTTCAGTTATTGAACTGCTGCCCAGTAATTGCTGTGAGGTTCTGATCCTCCAGAAGAGCAAGGAGCCACCTCCATTCTCAGCTTGTGGCTCATGAAGTTTGCTTTGCTGAAATTATTAAAATTCATGTCATCAAAGATGAGCAATGGACTCGAGACTCAGGTGCTGGGAATTAATGTTGCCCACTGAAATTACTGACATTGGTTTCCAATCTGTTCTTTTTCACATGGTGCTGCTTAAAGCACACCAAAAGCAAAGTATGTAATCAAACTGGGTTTAGGCTGAATGATACTGGAACAAATAGAAGTGACTGTAAAAATCACTGTTGTTCCCCTGGCCAAGTCCAGATGCCATTCTGATTTCACTCCACTTTGATTGCTGTATCTGGTCCATTGCTGCATGCCTACTGCCATAAGCTCCTGAGGAACTGTTAGCTACAGGTGACATCCAACAGAGCTCCTCACCATGATGTTCTGGTGCAATTCAGCATGCTCAGGCCCCATTCAGCCCAACTGAGGAGCAGCAAAACCCACCCAGCCCACTGCCTTTTGTCAGTCTCCTCACCCAGACAAAAGTCACCAAAACCATCTCCATGTGAGCAGCCATTGCAAGCAATTGCACCTCTCCCATGAGTCAGCCCCTCCTGCAATCACCTCCCCATTGCTTCTGGGAGAGCTTTCACAGAGCTCCCTATTTCTGCAGCTCGTTCACCCATAAAAAACAGCCAGAATACAGCGAGGTGAGGAAGAAACTCCATGAATTTTCATCACATTGGTATTTCTGGCACAATTTACATTACTTCCGTGACTATGTCCCTGATCAGTAGGAGCAATAAATACCCTGCACAAAGCTCAGATTGCAACGGATGGGAGAGGAAGCAGCATCCTGAAAGGTGTCACATTCTGGAAACCTGACCCAGGAAGTACGATCCACAATTAACAAGATGGGTAAGGGAGTTGCTGGGTCTTAGAAAAGGCCTCTGATTATCATAAAGCAAAAGCAGGTGCCAAGCAGTTCTAAAGCATCCCATGTATCATCAATGATTTTGTTGTTGATATTAAGAATTCAAAGGGTGCTATTAGCATTCTGGGCAGCAAAGGAGCAGATCTATAGCATGGCTCTCAATAAATACAGTAAACTTCTTTAGCACTTTGCAATTCACATCTGATCTCTGCTGACCTTTTTTTTTCTCCTAATTAAACCTTTAGCTTGCAAATGAGCCATTTCCTCCTTAAAACCAGTACATGGCAAGGGAGGAAATCTTACTCGCAACTTACAGGAGTGGCTGCTGACTTCACTGTCTGTCACAACTTTTTCTAACTGATTCCAACTTGAATACAACTGGACCAACAACTTTCTCCTAGATGAACACACCTGAAACAGTGCTTAGAAGAATGAGAAATGATGGGGATTATCTGGGATGAGCGTGCAACAAAGTATTGAGCTGCTGCCCTCAAGAGATCAGAAGTACTTTGGGCCGCACCACATCCAGCTCTGCATGTCCTACCGAATCTCCTCTTTCCAATGCACTCACTACCACACCACCAACAGAGATATTGAACAGAATCTCAGTACTCACCCTTGAGGAGCACCATGTGTCACCAGCCCTCCCCTGGGCCTAGCACCGTTAGCTGCAACCCTCAGAGAAAGCCTCCAACAACCAGCCCGCTCTGCTATAACACATTTTCCCACCCACCTGGGGCAATCAGGAGCTCATGGGATACAGCTGATGGCTCCAGCACATCTTCAGCTGGTGTTCCTCAGGGCTATGCTGTGCTGGGGGTGTGGTGGGTTGGGGGAGGGTCATGCCGAGCCACCAGTCAGACTTAAACGTAGAAGCTTCCACAAATGCCTTCACTTTGACAAAATGCTATCATTGTAGGGAATGTTTTCTCTACCAAACACTTAAAGCAGACTCCATTTTCAAGATTTTTTTTCTCCCACAAGGCACTTGGAGGCTTTTTCCATGCAAGCCCCGTCTGTGCCTGCTGGCAGCCCTGCAAGCTGCAGCTGAGTATCTCCAGCAAAGACCAAAGCATTGTCTTGATTCTAAAATGGCCCCAAAATTATGTCATTTCCACACAAGATTGAGGCCATTTCCACCCAAGAATCCCACTGAGCCACCCCAGGCCCATGCTGCTTTGCTCTTCTTCATTACTGTGTTAATGCTGCCTTAGGGATACCAGCGCTGCAGTCATTCAGCCCTGAGGAACCTGAGCAAGGAGCTGCTCCTGTCCATCATTTCACTGCACTGCACCTCTTCCCTTGGTGACCCCAAGGAGCACTGGGGGATTTTGCACCTCCCAGAGCTGCTCTTTCCACACACCTGGGTTGTTCAGCCTTGGCAGCAGACAGACAGACAGACGGCCTGTGTCCCATACATCTGATTCATTTACAAATAAAACATCCCCAAAATGCAACTGTAAGGCTGTGAAGGAGGGGACATGCACAGTGATGTGGGATTTCTACCAGGTAAGCATCCCAGATGGGGAAATGCTGGCAGAAGAGATTTTCCCCACTCAGGCAGCACTTGGGATGGCTCAGGCATGTGGATGTGGTGCTGAGGGAGCAGGGGGCTCGTGGTAAGATGTGCATGTAGGACCTTGGTGCTGTCACTCCTTTTGCAAAGAGGTAAATTCTTGCATGGAGAAACCGAGGCCATTCAGCATCCTGAGGCTGCAGTGAGGGCTCCCTGTGGATGGGGTGGGACTAAAACTCCCCAGCCACAAACCTGAGGTCACCGTGTCCCCACCAGGTCCCCTTGAGAGCCCCAGTACCCCCTGCCCAGCCCCGGACACCACGCCGCAGCGCGGCACAGCCCAGCTCATCGGCTCAGGAGGGCAAAAGCGATTAACGGGAAATCAATGGGAATAAAACGCTCCCGCCTGCCGCAGTACACAATTCACTCCTGCCGACAGCCAACCCCGCACTGCAGGGAAACGCGCCGCAGCGCCGGGCAGCGACTGGGGCCGGGGCTCCTGCAACTCTGCAGGCAAACCAAGGGCGCGAGGCTCCAGCAGCCATCCCCGCTCTTGGGCGGCCATAAAAGTTTGCAGAGGCTCCGCCGCCCCACAGCCACGTGAGCGACGTGGGGAGAGGAATATTCTCCTCCTTCCATTAGCTCCTTTCAAACGGGCTGGAAAGAAAGGAGGGGGGAAATTCCCCAGCAATATCCAGCGAAAGGACAAAATAATGAGAAAGCCATGAATCATGTTGCTTTTCTGGACTTCGATACAAAAGGCCTTGTTCTCCCCGAGAGCCGCCGGCAGCGCGCATTTGCGGCACTAAATAAAAAGTATCCTTGGGGGGAAAAAAATCTGCTGTGAAGTAATTTAATTCTGGCCGGCTAGCTGGATCAAACCCCTGTTTGCAAGAAAAGTGGTCGAAACGTGCAGCTTAATGGAATACTGGGCTGTGTAATGGTGGGTGTGGGGGTCTCTCAGTGCAGGATGCAGTGCGGGAGCTGCTGGGGGCCAATACCATATAAAACCCATAACAAATTAAAAAATGAATATTTTATTAAATGAGTAGCCAAGATGAGTTCAGGTGCAGCTTTGGGACAGGCCGAAGGACTGAATCCATGACCAGTGCTTTATGCCAAGGCCTGGTGCCATGTCTCCCAACATGGCTGGCGTTCACACAGTGTTGGTCGCTGGCGCTGCCTGGTTGCTCCCGCACATTCTCTGTCTGCAGGTCACAGAACCCAGAACCGTAGGGATTGGGAGGGACTTTTGCGCTCCTCAAGTCCAACTCCCCTACAGCAGTTCCCTGCAGCAGCTGCACAGGAACACGTCCAGGTGAGTTTGGATCTCTCCAGAGAAGAAGAGTCCCCAACCATTCTGGGCAGCTGTGCTGGGGCTCTGCTGCCTCACAGTAAAGTTCTTCCTCCTGTGTGTATGGAATTTCTGTGTTCCACTTTGTGCCCATTACCCCCTGTCCTGTTGCTGGGCACCACCAAACAGAGCTTGACCCCATCCTCCTGACTCCCACCGCTAGATATTGATCAGCATTGATAAAATCTCCCTCAGGCTCCTCCTCCCCATCGCAGGGCTCTCAGCCTGTCCCCATCAGGAGGTGCTCCAGGCCCCCACCATCTCTGCACTCTCCGCTGGGCTTTCCAGCATTTCCCTGTCTGCCCTGAACTGGGCAGCCCCGTGTTGGGTGCAGTGCTCCAGCTGTGCTCTCCCCAGGGCAGAGCAGAAGGGAGGAGCACCTCCCTCACCTGCTGGCCATGCTCACCTCAGGTCCTATTGGACTTCTTGGGCACACTGCTGCCTTGTTGTCAACCGCTGATCAACCCTTGGTCAACCATTGGTCAACTGTTGGTCAACCAGAGCATCCAGGGTTGTGGCATGGTGGTGCCAGCCCGGTGCTGACTCCTGCTGCCGCTGGCCTGCGGCAGGGCTGGGCTCTGGCCCCGCTGGCATTGGCTGCAGACAGCACCAAATGCTGCGTGTCGTTCATCTGGCACATTTTAGCTGTAATTGCAACAGCCTGAACTACCACACGTTTTTATGTGCTGATATTTCATGACATTTTATGTACATAATCTGCATATGTTATTTTTAGAAAACTTTCTCTCTGGGACAGCCTCATGTGCTCCACATCTTGTTTCCATGAGCATGTGCTGCAATTGGGAGCTTTTGGATTTTTTCCCCTTCTTCTCCCCCTGTCAGAATCATTTTCTGACTCGCAGAAGCGACACACAGAACATAATATTTTTCTTTCTTTTCACGAGCATGCTTTAAAGAGAATAATAATAATAAAAAAAAGGCGAGCTAAGCAGGCCTTGTTCCTATTTCTGTGACACCAGGGCTGAGCTCTGACCCTGGAGAAAACCCACTGGGAATCTGGGAATCAGGCTGCAGACACCAGCAGCTATCGGATGTACTGGACACAGGCTGTCTGTCTGTCTGCTGCTCTGGCTGAATAACTCAGGTGTGTGGAAAGAGCAGCTCTGGGAGCTGCAAAATCCCCCAGTGCTCCTTGGGGTCACCAAGGGAAGAGGTGCAGTGCGGTGAAATGATGGACAGGAGCAGCTCCTTGCTCAGGTTCCTCAGGGCTGAATGACTGCAGCGCTGGTATCCCTAAGGCAGCATTAACACAGTAATGAAGAAGAGCAAAGCAGCATGGGCCTGGGGCGGCTCAGTGGGATTCTTGGGTGGAAATGGCTTCAATCTCATGTGGAAATGACATAATTTTGGGGCCATTTTAGAATCAAGACAATGCTTTGGTCTTTGCTGTCCAGGGAAGTTTTTGTGCAATAGGTAGCCCTCGTGGTGGAAAAACTCTGAAAATTACGTCTGTTTTATGTGTTTGGTGGAGAAAATGTTCCCTAAGATGGCATTATTTAGTCAAACTGAAGACATTTGTGGAAGCTTGCTGTTTTAAGCACGACCGGTGGCCCAGCGAGGGAGGGGATGCCATCCAGAAGAATCTGGAGAGGTGGGCCAAAGGAGTCCAATGGGGCCAAGTGCAAGGTGCTGCACCTTGGTCGGGGCAATCCCAAGCACAAATGCAGGCTGGGTGATGAGTGGATTGAGAGTTGCACTGAGGAGAAGCCCCGAGGGCCTGGAGGAGGCCACAAGGATGACCAGAGGGCTGGCGGTGTGGAGACAGGCTGAGGGAGGTGTGGTGTTCAGCCAGAAGACAGATCTGGGGAGCCCTCACTGTTGCAGCACCTAAAGGTGCCTTCACCTTTAAAAGTTGCCTACAGAAAAGTTGAAGGGGGCACTTTGTCTGTGAGTTTGGGACAAGAGTATAAGGGTAAAATAAAAGGGTAGATTTAGATCAGATGCCAGCAAGAAATTCTTCCCCATGAGGGCAGTGAGGCCCAGGCGCTGCTGCCCTGAGCAGTGTGGGTTCCCCGTTTGTGGCAGTGCCCAAGGCCACGGATGGGGCTTTGGGCACCTGAGCCCATGGCAGGGGGTGGGACTGAGTGGGTTTTACAATCTCTTCTGACCCAAACCGGTCTGTGGTTTTAGGGTTCTGGAGCCCCAGCGGATACGGGGCAGTTGTCCAAAGGCAGTCAGACTAGGTGCTGAACTTGGGGTGTTCTTTGGCCCCACAGTGCTGTGGTTGGAGGAGCAGTGCCCTGCACTCAGGCCTGCATGGTGAAGCACGGCCAGGACGCTTTGAGCCCTGCAGATCTGCTCAACGATCGCTTGAAGCAGCGCAAGCCCTTCTTCAGAGCCCGCTTCGCGTCCTGACGAAGAAATAAAATAAACATTTGGTAACACACGCAGCATATGGTTATTGTTTGCTGCAAGGACAGGGGAAAACATTACTCCACAACGTGGCAAAAAGGCTGCAGCTGCAATATCACATTACAGCGCTGTGCTTTATTCAATAAGGGCCGGGGCTGTGTGGCGGAGCTCCCCCCAGGGCGGTCGGGGGCCCCGGGCCGCCGTGCTGCGGCAGCGGGCATGTGCCGTTCGTTAGCGCCGGAATCTGGTTTCAATTCGGTCGCTTCAGATTGTATTTTCACAGTGACTCATTAGTCACCCAATGTTGACAAGCAGTTGTAAGGGTGCCATCTCCCTCATTGTTTATAGGCAAGTGCAGCGCCCAAAATGATTTATTTGGGCTTTAATTAAAATTTGCGGAGAGAGCAGTGATTTTTAGCAGCGCCGTTTC